AGTGCAATTTTCCACAGCGAAGCGTCCCAGTTATAACATTTGTTATAACATTTGAAAGCTCCAGATATGTTTTCCCTGCTCAGCTCCCACAAGTGTTTTTTCAAATATTGAATGTCTCTGTCTAAGAGAGGACAGTTGACAGCCGTTTCCACGGTGAGCCCCCAGTGTTCACCCTGCCCAGCCCGCTCCGTCGCCGCAGCACCGGAGGCAGCATGGCTCGTAGACGAGTCTCAGATATCAGGGACTGAGTCAATAACTGGCTTTATTTATTTATTTATTTTACGCATGTACACTATATTGTCAAAAATAACTCGCTTGTCTGTTTTCCCCGCACATAATCTTGAGTGATATGCCATTCTTGCACACACATGCTTGATTGACAGCACTAAGACCCGCCTCCTGGCTCTGATTGATTGATTGCAGCTGCACACTCTTGGATTCTTCCAGCTGGCACTGGAAGAATCCAGAGGAGCTTGTTTTGTTTTGTTTTTTTCACAGATAATCCGTCTCACACCATCCTGTCACAACATGGTAACAATATCAACAAATACTTCTTTTTCTTAAAATAAAAGTTACATACTGCCCCTTTAAAAACTCATTTCCAGTTATCGGAACCAGAGGATGGCTGATGTTGCCGCCAACGTGGCGCCATTTACTTTTCTCACAAGGCCACTTTTATGGCTTTTTGGCATTTAAAGAAATAAAGTTATAACTCTTTTTTTGTCTGACATTGTAAACTGATTGTCTGTCCTAACCACAAAAATATCTTCATTTCCCATTTTGTACTTTAAGACGACATCTTTCGACTCTGAACAGAATCACCGGCACCATGTATAAAATTCCTAAACTTCTCCTTTTATGTGCTGAGGCAGTCAGAGCTGCATCTCTCCTCAGTCTCTGCCAAACAAAGAGTGAAATGATTAGACGGCGGCTTTAGAGGGAGAAGAGATATCGTTAGTTCTGAGAAGCATCACTCCCCCCAACCCTCCACCAACCGTCCCCGGCTCGCTCCTTGTCTCATCCATCCTCGTCCTATCTGATTCTCTTTGTGATCTACAATCCCTCCTTCTCCTCCATCTCCATCTTAAGCCCAATCTCATCTCTTTTATCTCTTTACTTTACAGGCATTGGTCCTGGCTGTCCTGCTGCTGTTGTGTGTGTTGTTTTTTTTTTTTTTTCTAACAAATTCCTGTGAGAAGGGAGTTAAGCCTTTGCAGTGAGACGTGTGCTCTGACAGCGCACGGCTCCGTTGTGCCACACAGCAGAGGCCTGCAGGTCACAGCTTCTTCTTTGCTGTGGCAAAAGACGGCGCAGCGCAAACAAGTGAGCGAGAAAAGGGTAAAAATGTTTGTAGAAGATGAACTGAGGCTCATTTGCATCAGCTTTATGTTGAACTGAAACCCAACATGGAATTATTCTGTGGGATCCAGCAGCCTGTGGGGCAGAGTGGGTCACACAGAGTGGACCAGCAGCTGCAGACTGGGAGTCAGATCAACACTGGGATGCTTTTTTTTTAAATAGATGATAGTAGATAAACCTCTTTTGAAAGTTGTTTTTTTTTGTTTGTTTGTTTATTGTTGTTTTTTGTGTGCAGGGATACTTTATGTAATATTGAGAAAAATCTTTATTTTCTTTAGTTTCCAAAGGGCCTACGGAGAAAATAAAACCTTTTATGCTCTTCGTTGTTTAATATTCCTGAAAACGATTATTTATTTATAAAAAAGAAGAGTTGAGAGAACTATGCGTTTGTGTTTGAGGAGACATAGATTACAGAAAAACAAATGATGCTTATATATCCACTTGACACGATTACCCATCAACATCATCTTCTGCTTTTATTAACTTTATATTATAATACATTATTTTAATGCTGCTCAGCTCTCCTGGCATTGTGTTTAATTCCTACCAAGAAGTTGTGATTGTTTTGAAGCAATCTGATTGGCTGACAGGGTATAGCTTTGCTCTACACTGCCCCCTATGGGTTCAACATGTTTACAGCTATTTTATTTTGAAATAAAAGGCAGATATAGTTCTTCCTAAGTCTTCCTGGCTTTTCACATATGATTTTTCATGTCATTTCTTGTTTAATTGAAACACTGCAATTGCAAAATTGTGTTTTTATGACTTTAGCAGAATTATTTGTGTTGGAAAAGCAGCTCATGCATCTGTTCGGTCCATGAACAGATGATTTAAAACATCAACGTTAAAAAACTTCTTGTGTTCTATGTCGACTGAGAGACCAAAACACAATGCTTGTATTGTCTTCCATCATCATGGGCTGTCAGCGGGGTCTCCAGCTCTCAGCATCAGACGCCCTGAGGCAGAGAAGATTTGCTCAAGTGTTGAACCTGCATCGCTCCTCGAGCTCAGGCCCAGTGATGGAGCTGAGAGGACCTGCTGCAGCAGGGATGTGATCACTGAGGGGCCCCTCCATACCTGATGTCCAGATGTTCAGCTCCTAATGAGCTGCTTGCCGTTCCGCTGCGCATTCATTGCCTTCCACAGATTGCTACCACAGAAGTACAACAGTGCTGCGAAAAATACTCGGCTCCTCACAGCTTTCTTGTGTTACTTTATCTTGTTGCATTTAAACATCAACTCATTTTATTATCAGACAAAAGGATATTTAGGTTTCCCTTCTGGACATGTTAGTCTAATAAAACAATTCTGCAAGATGATTGATTGATTGATTGATTGATTGATTGATTGATTGATTGATTGATTGATTGATTGATGATGGATGGATGGATGGATGGATGGATGGATGGATGGATGGATGGATGGATGGATGGATGGATGGATGGATGGATGGATGGATGGATGGATGTGGATGGATGGATGGATGGATGGATGGATGGATGGATGGATGGATGGATGGATGGATGGATGGATGGATGTGCTTTTTGAAAATGGAATGGAATCCGTTTTAGTTGCCAGGTTTGTACGAAAAAACAAGGAGTCCCACTGTACTTTCTCATTGTCACTTCCTGTCCTCATATGTGGACTCAAAATAAATTCTACATTCGTTGGTACTTTGTATATGTTGTAATGTCTGTGACAAACGATGATTTCTGTCTATCCATAAGCTCTACGCAGCATGTACATTCACTTCTCTACATGTCAGAAATCCTGAAAAACCTCTTGGGATAAATAGGTCAAGACTCTTGGCCAATCAGCAAACTCAGCTGTAGGACTCCCTGCGTCACTTGGAGGTGCTGAAGTAGGCCACAAGCTGCATTTGTAAAACCTTTTAAACAAGAACAAGCTCCAAATGCTCAAAATGTCGCAGGAATAACCCAAGTGTGCATTAAAGCACTAGGAGGTGAAAACATTTCATCAAATAATTACTGTAAAGCAGGATGGAAAAGGACACAACATGCTCTCCAGTTTATCCATGAGCTCTGTGCTTACAGATTGACTGTAAGAGTGAATAAATATAGTGAATAAATACGTGCAGTCTAAGACTTTCATCTCTTGGAGCTGCTGCTGGAGTTCTTCAATATGTTTCACTATTAACCCCACTGTGCAGCGCTGCGCCTTTAATCTTTGAAACTCAGGCACTGATGGGAAAGAATCTTTAGACGTCAGCAGAAATGCAACTAAATCATCAATGAAAAATGAAAGTTCAGTTGTCTACAACATACGATGAAGTGACTCCATAAACATTAATATGTGGTTATAACACAAAGCTCACCGTCATTATGCAGAGGACAATATGAACAGTTAGCTCTTCGTTATTCACCATGACTCTAAGCCAATACATTTTCTCCTGCGTAACATTGTTCTGTATTAAGCTAACACTAGCGTGTTTATTCAGTCTTTTGATACGACTCTTTGATGGCACAGCATGCAACATGTTTTAACACTGTTGGAATTACAGAAAAAAAGTTGCTCCTCTATTATCTTTTGCAGGAGTTCCCTTTCATACGGTTCCAGCTGTCTGGATTTCAGCAGTCCGTCTCCAACCAGAGCCAGAGTAGATCACATCACACACAATAAATGTTCCTGGAACAGCTACCGGGTTCTGAGATAGCTGGAGTCTTTTAGTTATTGGTGTTGGTGCATTCTGGCGGAGCAGTGTGAGAGAGAAAGAGTCCACACACAGCAACCGCAACATTGTGTTGGTGGAACATGACCCTGAGCAGACACAAGCACAGGCAAGCAGGTTCTTCAAGCTGAGAGCAAAATTGGACAACACTTCACACTAACCAGGCACTCGCAGAGGAGTGTTCTCCAATGAACCCACTGCACCAAGACACACACTGGCACTCAACAAGGAATTATTTCTGCACATTACAATCAAGCTAATACTCCATCATTCTGGTTCATATTCAGAAAGAAGGACAAGCAGCTGAGTGGAAATATGAGTGGATCTTTGACATTTTAGCAAACACAGTTTGATCAGCAGCCAATCAATCATTAAGAAAACAGAACATCACAACTTACACTTTAACTTGTTGCAACTGAATTTCCCCACCGTGGGACTGAAAAGGATTTTATTCTATTCTATAAGACCACAGAGGCAGTTTTTTACAATTAAAAAAAAACGTTCAATTTGAGTCATATTAATGATCCATCAGACCTCTGACTTCAATTTGTTAATTCACTTATTCCTAGATTTTTGTTTTTGGTGGAAACTCCAAATTATTTGCAGGAAAGTTGCCTACTCACTGATTTTTTTTGTGTTGAGTATATCTAGAATATTTGACATAAAAGGCAGTTTGGCTTTCTGTTACCTGGTGTTTGTAAAGCACCAGCTAACAGGTAATTGGGCAGCATACAAAAGGATGATTAGCAGCTCTAAGACCCTCCTCCTGGCTCTGATTGGTTGTTTTTAACCGGGAGCGGTGCCTTTCTGAGGACCACAACAGGAACCCTGGGAGGAGCACATTTTGCATATGTGTAAGAACATCTTTCCTGAGTAAAACAGGATTTTAAAAACACGAAAAAGATCAATAACACGGACTCAAAATAAGAAATGCACATGGACACAACTCAAAAATCATTCATTCATTTTTAATCATATACAAACAGAACATATTTGAAAATACAGAGTGCTTTTCCAGTGGCTTTAATATCTGGAGGAGTCCAAAGCATCAGCGTTGACTTCCAAAGCTTTTCATTCAGCATCCTGTGGTCTGCAAGTCTCTTTGAAGCTCACAGCTGGAAGCTAACACACAAGGAGGCTGATGGGATATTAAAAAAAAAAAAAAAAGCGTAAAAGAACATGATGGTCAGACCAGAAAGGTTGATGTGAAAGCAGGGTGTGATATGATGTTGAGCTGCAGATACAAGCCCGGGCCCGGATCCATCCACCACCTGAGAACCTCTCCTCGTGTTGAGCCGGGACTGGAAACGAAAAGGCATCTTTAATTCTGCCTGAGTCATGCTACACCGACCCCCAGCAGGAGCCGCTCATTTGGGAGAAAATGACGTTGTTATTTTGTTCTGTTTTATGTGATTAATGGCCGTGGCTGATGGTGGCTGCGCAGCGCTGCCAAAATAATCATGGCTGCGTTTCCCTGATAATGATCACATTTTTCTCCTCAAAGCTGTGTTCTGAACACATTTATAGAATTCTTCAGGCAAAAAAATTAATGATAATAAAAGTGCATGGATATGCTGGATTTGAAAAAAATTTAATGAAACAATCTGCAAAAAAAGTTTTGTTTTTGGTTCTATTTCTAAATTGAATTTTAAGCCTTGAAATAAAAGCCAACCAGAGTTTATTATATGACATAACTTTACAGTATGTTCCCACAAGCTGAGTTTGTTACAAAAGTGCGCAACATTTTTCAATATTCTGTCAATAAAACATAACTTCCAAATTATGTTTCCATTAAATAAATTAAATTAAAATCACACATATATATTTTATTGATATATTTGTATGCGCAGTACATCCTTAAAAGTCCTGCTACTGATAATAATTTGATGCTGATATTTTAAAAGAGATTAAATATGTCTTCATTTGTAAAACCAAAAACAAAGTATAACTTCACCAGATGCTCAACATTGCTCATTTTAGTTGATTTATTTTGTGTTATTTTTCATCTTGGAGTCCTGATCAACTTTATTCTCCTAATATTATAGCCTTATTCTGGTAATGCAAAAGCTTTATACTCGTATTATTTTGACTTTATTGTATTATGATTGTATTCTTGTAAAATGATGTTTTTTAGTGTCGAGTTGGCCTACACTACACAATGAGTGAATTGGTGAAAATAAATCACAATGTTACACATATAAAATCTTCATAAATCAAAAAATGTGGTTAATCAATAAAACCCATTAACAAATGGTCTCAGGTGGTACTCAACTATAAGCTAAATTGAGGGTTTCGATTAGACGTGAGATTTTGATATAATTCCTGTGAATGAGTGTGGAATTCAGAGGAACTTCAATATTTTACAGAAATAGAAGTGAATATTTAGCACACAGTGATAAGCTGTGGGATCAGTAACAGCCAAAGCTGGCGGCTCATTTGTTGATAAGGGACCTGCCTGTTTTAAGTCATGAAGAAATAAAATGCTGCACTGGTGTGACTGCAGCTGTGATCCCTCCGCTGGATTTCTCAATCAGCTTAAGATGCTTTTGGGAAATATGGCCCAGATATTGAAGTCATTTGATGCATGAATAACTTGATGTGTGAATGAAATCGTTCCCTCAGTCGCCACTCCAGGGTTTGCCCCGGAAACCTGCGAAGCCTGGCAGCGGGGAAAGTCCACCAGCGGCCCGCCACGTTTCTGAGTTAAATGTTCAAAGTTCTAAACAATTCCAGAGGTTCACTGGCATCGTAATTTGGAAATATTAGCGTGTGAGGCCAACAGGCGGATGCGGAGGCAGTCCCAAAAAAAAACAACAACCCAGAAACTGGGCCTCATCCGTCTATTCTGTCTGCAACTCTAGAAATGTGCAAAATTAAGTTATAAAAATACATCTGCATAATGAGATTTATTTTTAAAAAAAAATCTAATGTTGAGATGCTTTTTTATGGCCGCATTGAGAAACTTTTTTCACATCACACAAGTCACATGATCAACAGCTGAATGTTACCACTGGTGGACATCCAGCTAACCGGAACCCAGCAGGAAGTAGCAGGAGGTGATGCTGAATCTGGCTCCACTACAGCTCACAGAATCACAGTTTATAAAAAGTTGTGTATCAGTTATGAATCCATAACTCTTTTGTAAAATCACAGATTACAATTTCCCCAAAGCTATTTCCAAGTAGGCGGGGCCTATCGCTCCAAAACCTCAATAAGACGCTGACATCTCTCTGATTGGCTGACAGATGATGAGTGTTAGCAATATGGCTGTATTATGAATATATCTCATGTAACTGTTTACATCCATTGCTGCCATAATTTTTCAATAACTTATCATGGGAACAAGTTCATTCACATGTGATTTGAAATGAATTTTTATTTAATGGAAACACTACACTTGCAAAGTTGTGTTTCTTAAACATGAGCAGAATATAGACAAAGATTGTAGTGGAAATGCAGTTAATGTTCCTGGTGTATAAAAATAAAATGAACAAACAATGCTCAGCCTGGTGGGGGAGGAAGTACAGCCTGGTGGCCCGCCAGGCTTATGATCCACTGAGGGAAACCCGGCGCTCCATTTCCTGTCTACATCTCACCTGGCCTGCATCAATCGACTTCCTTCCTCAGGTACTTCTTCATGACTGAAGCCACGTCTCCCCCTTCGCTCCCCTCCGCCTCCAGCCTCTGTCCCTGCGGTCGCTCCAGCCTCCGCCGCGGCCCGCTGCCCTGGGAGCTTCCCCCAGACCCGCCTGAACTGGACGACTCCGTCTCAGAGCTCTTCCTGCTGCGTGTGGACGGGGGCAGCTCTCCGAAGTGGACGCTCAGCGCCCTCCTGGTGCCTTTGATGGAGCTGGCCAGGCTGCTGGTGGACTGGGCCCTGCGGATGGCGGGCAGGATGTCTGAGGCAGCGTCGTCGTCGCCAGTCAGACGCCGGTTCTGGAAGACCATAGGTTCCGACCCCAGGGACCCCTCGCCTCCGTCTGCAGCAGTCGCGACGCTCTCCAGCATGCACCGCCGCAGCGGCTGAGGGGAGCGCTGGAAGGGAGCGGCCGCCGAGCGCAGGGGCTCGTCCTGGTCCTCCTCAGGGATGGACAGGGACGGAGGAGGATGGCGGGCGGCAAGGGAAGAAGACAGAGAGGAGAGGCGAGGCAGGGACGGGAGCGAGGAGGCAGAGCCGCTCGAGTTGAACCGAGGGAGCTTTTCCGAGTCGGTGACGGAGCGAGAGCTGGCGGCGCGCGGCAGCAGAGGAGACGGCGGTTTCAGGATGCCAGGGCCAGGCCGGAGCTCCTGGACGTCCGCCGGACTGAGGGAAAGAGCCGAGGCCCTCCGCCTGAGAGTGGAGGCTCCGGTGGTTTGGTAAATGGGAAGGGACACAGTGCTGCCAGCCCCGTCTGCCACCTCTGTGCTCGCCCTGCGTTTCCGGAGTCCGTCCAGCAGCTCGGACAGCGCCGAGGAGGACGGAGCCCGGCTGAGATGTCTGGCACCTCCACCGCCACCAACAAGGCCGGCCTCAGAGCCCTCATCATCAGGGTCCAAACAAGAACTGCAGATGGATAACAGAAAGACGTCTATTACAGTTCCTGATCATACCACTATCACATTTATTAGTATTGTAGACAGAGTTCAGTCCAGTTTTTCTTTTTATTCAGTCTTTGAGCTGCTGACTTTAGCTGATCCCAGTGTTCTGTTTTTTTTTTTCATTTGAATTTAGATTGATTTGAGCAGCATTCACTCCTCCTGGACCAGCACACATCAGCATGTGGACAAGTCATTGTCCACATGCTGCTTCATGTCCACATGCCAAGAAGTTATGGATTCGGCACAAAGTTGTCTTCTCAATGGACGATGACCCTCAGCAGATAGCAGTGTTATGTTGAATGTCTATCCAGACATTCAACATCATTTTAAAGCACAATGAAGTGACTATGTCACCTCTTTAAAGAATGCTGTATATATCAAAAGAAGATTTACTTTGTAATTTAAAAGTTTGAAACTGGGGTCCTGCGTCTTTAAGAATCTCCAGCCGTTTCTGAAACTCCGCCTTCAGGAAGTGATCACAAAGTGGCTCCTCTAGCAACCCTTGAGCAATGTTTTTACCAGAGTTGCTGGTAAAAATGGTAATGAGCTCAGCAGTTGTGTCGTTCCACCAGGTGTTTGCTAATTGCTGCCGGCTAGTCTAAAGGAGCGGATTGGGGGAGGTTGTGGGAGGCGGCTGCTTTGTGAGGCAGTAGCTTGGTGACTGCAGCAGAAAACAGGAGCTGTGACTCGAAGGCAGAGCTCAGTCCAATCAGGTGTTTCACACACCTCCATGGTTGCCATGGAGATTAAAGGATTTCTCAAACATGCATGAAAGAATCAAAGCAACAGTCAAGATGTTTTGGACAAGGGAACAAACAACATTACATAACGTGATGTAAAGTTAAAAGAATATCAATTTCACATAATACTGTCCCTTTAAATAAACATCTTAAAAAATAATTAGAATTATACTAACAGATTGTTAAACTGTAAAACAAAAACCAAAGTGATACTATGTAAACTTAGGAGGTTGAATTCTTTTGTTGTTATGAGTTTCTTTAATTGATATAAAAGAAACGTGGATTTATGGATGTTGTGAACTCTCACCGGAAGCTGTAGGTGCTCATGGTGTCTGTGACAGACTGACGGCCATCTTGGCTGCTGTAGGGAGAGCCGCCCCTACGGGAGCGAATGCCCTCTCCGACGTCCTTTGAGCAAACAGAGCCGATGCTGGACACAGAGTCACTGCAGGGGGGAAGAACACACGGGCTGACCGTTTGCTTCTGCAGCCAGCAGCAGCAGCAGCAGAAGCAACAGCAGCTGCAGCAACAGCAGCAGCTGCGGCAGTCGCTCATGCAAGCACCTTATGAACATGGCAACTCAACAACCACAAGCCAGGGTGGATTTACAGCTGCACTACGTTTATGAATTTAATTGAAAGTATAAATGAAAACAATCTCATCTTGGATTATGTTCTGGTTGCACAAAGCTATTAAAGTATTTGCCCACCTTACAGATTCTTTCTGCCACACTGAACCGAGATGATCTGAGTCAGTTCAATCACAACTCGTATCATTCAGACGTTACTGTACCGGCAGCAGCTTGGCCTTATGGGAAAACCTAATTTGCCCCTGAACCGAAAAATTGTTTAGAATCAGAATCAGAATTCTTTATACTATCATTGTGCATGAATACAGCACATCAAAATTTAGAAAATAGTAACTCTCAAAGAAACCTAACTGGAGTGTTAAGAATAAATAAATAAATAAATAAACAAGCAAATAAATAAATATTACATCACTTTGGGGGCTTTAGGTCCAGTCTTCTTTGCAGTTTTATTTTTAAGAGCTTCAGACATGTTGGACAGTCAGTTCAAGGTCATGTAGGATTTAAGTCCAGGCTTTGACTAAACCAGACTTTCAGTATGTAGTTTTCCTTTTTCTTTTCTTTTTTTTTTTGGGTGGGAGAAGGGGCGAGGCAGGTTAAGCCTTTTGTGGGTGTTTGCTCAGTCGATTTCATATTGTGGAGTCATGAACTCTGACCTTTACTGAGGCAGCTGAGGATTCAGATGCTCTTGGTTTTTTGTGATCTGCTGTGTTGCAGGTCACTGTCAGCACCCGGGAATAATGAGTGGATAATAACTCACTGACGCTACGATATGCAAGAGTCTCAAAGCTTTAGACATGACTTTGATATTGAATTTCTTTAGTTGAAGGTGTGAACTCTCACCTACCTCACAGGTGTGACGTTCAAAAGCCTTTTTTCTTTAAAAAACAATAAAATCATGATCTGAAAACTGCCTTTTGCATTTACTAGTGTTATCTGTGTCTGATATTAGCAGGTCTGATGGTCTGAAACACTGAAGTCCAGCATAAACAAAAGACGTCGGTAAGGAGGCAAATGCTTCACAGCAACATTGTTTCATGTTGATCCTGAAATGTCCACCAGCAGCATATCATAATTTAAACATGACGGCTAATTTACGGCTATCATAAACACTTTTACAGCTGCGACGCTGCAGCAGCACATGCAGTCGTTTTAGTTGACTTTGCTTGAAGGATAATTCTTTGTACTTGGATTTGCTTCACAAAGTTCAAGTTTTGTGTTGGTAATACAGACTGTTCTCACCAATGTCATGTTACAGGACCAGATCACACACACAATGAGCTAAACAGATTTGTTATTTGTAACTTAAAAATGGAAAGTGAAACCTTTTTGCCACTGATTCCTCTATACATTTCCAAATTTAGACTTCGTCCTGGTTAGCATCCTGGTACCCGGACCACATCAACATTTCTAATGATTAACGTGTTACATATGGAGGACGACAACTTTTTGTCTTTTGACTAAAAGTATTCTAATTGAAATGTGTTAAAAGCTAAATTCCTACAGAGTCGCAACAAGACAGCTAACATGCTAATGTTAGCCTAGCACTTCAAATTGATGCCTTGAAAAAGTTGTCAGCAAGAGGAAAACATAACTTGATAAAAACGGTAAATGGATGCCTGGAGTCTGTTATATGTTTAGAAACAAAAGCAAAATATATGTAAAAAGATCAACAAAGCAGATGAGGAACAACAGCAGTGGTGAGTGAATTAGCTGCTTGTTGTTTTACTGAATTTAAAGTTTTTATTTTTTTATTTAAAAACTTGCAAGGTAAACAGCAGATATGATTTTTGGGAAACAAGAACTTCCCCGGTTCTTAGGAAAACTGGATAAGCATGTTCAGTATGCATACTGAGCGTGCCATTACACGCTACAATAATAGCACTACAAGGTCAAAAAAGAAAAAAGTATCGACTTAATGATAATATTAATCAATTAAATGGACAAAATGATGCAACAGATTCATCTTAATTTGTTGTGACTCAACATGTTCGTCTTGGAGAATACAAACCTAAACCCAAACAGGTTTTGAACAGTCTGAGCTCAACCATCAGGTAGTGTTTGATGTTACCATTTCAACAAAGGTGAGCAAAAGAGTTTGGATTTTGGTTTCAGGACCAGAAGATCAGAAGATCAGAATCCTGAATCCGAAGTTCAAAGCGGAGCCTGAAACTGAAGGCTCCTCTGCCTGAAGCGTCAAGCAGCTTTGTTGAGGACAATGTTACGATCAGTGCTGGAACTTAAACCCAAGACAAACTGGAAAATCAAGAATTATCCCAAAATAGGCTATATTCTTTTTTCAAAGATATAACCAATTCCAAAAGCACTCTCTATGGTGAAATGTTATGAAGTCACATGAACAAACCCCTGAAGCACAGCCGCACACTACCACCTCAAACACACTCATGGGTTCCTTACAGGTCTTTTTTTCGAGTGAAGGACTCCACTGCAGTTTGAACGCTGGATTTAGAAGCACAGTGGTTAAAGATCTGGCATAAACACATGGACGGAATGATCTAATCGGAGAGTTTCCCCCCAGGCGTTGAGTCCAACTACCTTTCGGTCTCACTCTCGTCGCTCGATTCCACTTCCTCCAGGGCGGCCTGCAGATCGACGATGCGGCGGATCGAAGTCTCCAGGTCGGCCTGTAACGTCTGTCGCACGGCGGAGAGCTCCTCCACCTGCATCTCCTGTAAGCAAATCAGATCAGAGGATGTTTGAAGACGCGGGAGGGTAAAGTGACACTCCCCTTTGGGTTGACCTTGAACCGCTCACCGCCTGCTCTTGCCCGCACAGACCCTGGGCTTCCAATCTGCCACGGCGATTGCTTTCAGCAGAGCTCTCATAACCTCATCAGTCAAAGCCCTGAACGTCAGTTTTCTCAAACACACACACATAATCCTGACTGTGCTCTGCCTGGTTTATCTAAAAAATTGTTACACACTCTCACTGACACTGGGGAAAACAAGTGTGATTGATTAATTCATCTTCCATTTTTTTTCCTCTTCCATTTTGTTCCTCTCTTATCCCTTCTCACACACACACACACGTCTACACACACAAACATGAGACCCTTCACATGGGCAAACGCCTCAAAGCTTTCAAAGTTATTGGCTTTGTTGGCTTTGAGGAGATGGGTGTGGGCGCAGCCGGTTGTCATAGAGACACACGAGCGCGCGCGTGTGTGTGTGTGTGTGTGTGTGTGTGTGTGTGTGTGTGTGTGTGTGTGTGTCCATAACCTTGAAGAGACAATGAGAGTTAATCACAGTCGCAGAGAGAGAAAGCAGGATGAGGGAGAGATGACGCCGAAGAACGGCGCTGGGTAAGTAGGAGGAGGATGAATGTGTATGGATGTTTATTCATGAAACGTGTGTGTGTGTGTGTGTGTGTGTGTGTGTGTGTGTGTGTGTGGTGTGTGTGGTGTGTGTGTGTGTGTGTGTGGGTGTGTGTGTGTGTGTGTGTGGGTGTGTGTGGGTGTGTGTGTGTTGGTGTGTGTGTGTGTGTGTGTGTGTGTGTGTGTGTGTGTGTGTGTGTGTGTGTGTGTGTGTGTGTGTGAGTGCAAGGCCAGTTGGTAGGTTCTTAAAGGGCAACTCCGTGCATGTGAATAGCTTTGAGCTAATAACTGAATAATTGTTGTTCCCTCAGAGGTCACGGAGGAATCTGCTGAGAGTGAGAAGCAGAAGCTGAGGGTAGCTGGCGTTCGGCAGAATGTTAGGTAGGCTGCAGGCCAGTCCAACAAACGCCATCCTCCACTCTGACTGTAGTGATGCTCTGACTAGAATATGCGCAAAGTTGAATTTTCACATATTCTGGAGTTGGATTGGAAAGACCGTCGCATTTTAGCAGAATTATGACGTGCATCTGGACATAAACGATGGCTAAAAATAATAATTATGAAAATTCTGAACCTACGAGAGAAACATGTCAGTGAAGGGCTTCACATCACAACCCCACCACTCTTGGCTCTGACTGACCTTTGCCATCACTTGTGTTTTCTTCCCATTAGCTTCCTTCATCTTGTTATGATGTGGCGATGTTAAAAACGTCTATGTATTTCATTAGTGCTAGTATTAATTAGAGGGTGACATGAGTTTAAAGTCAGCCCCACTTTACTCTGATACCCCTGTATAAAATCCAGCACAACCATCGCAGTCTATTTACATCTGATTCCTAACAGAACAACAGTTCAATGAATCTGAACTGAAATATGACACAGAAAGCAGGAAAGGCTTCGTGTTCCTCAGCTGAGGGTTGGGACCGACACAGAGCCTCTGGGCAACACTGAAGATTGGAAGCGTTTTAATAAATCACAAAATTTGAACCAGCGAGAAAATCTGCAATCGATGCAGCCAAGCTAACAAAAAGTCACTGGCATGTACAGCTTTAGGTTTAGGAGTCAGAACACCTTCAGAGTTATCTTCTGTTTCAAAAGAAAACAAGTTTGGTGCATTTATGGGCGTTCTTGTTTACACACACATCTAAAATGTCGCAGGGAATCTTCCCAGTGACACTACAAGACTGATATACTTGAAATGGAGTAAAAAGGAAGCGCTCGAGTGACTTCGTAGACACTCTGTGCAATCAGTGCAGCTATGATCACGCTCTCAGTAATGACAATTATGTTTTCCAAATGTCCCAGATAATAGAGCAGCTGCTGTGTTTGTTAATGAGAACAGCGGAGCTGCCGCTGCCTCCGAGGTGTGCTTCACTTGCAGTCATCGCCTGGAGGAAGCGCGTCCTGCCAGGCTGCTTGTAACGGCTCTACCTCACAGCCCGGATGGAGCGCTGTCGGGTCGGGGCTCGGGTTTTCAGCAGCTCATGTGATGCCCAGGTGTCACTGATCAGTCCAGACGGTCCGGGTCCTCTGGGAGGAGGAAAATCCTCCAGGGCTGAAGATGATGCGGGATTAAAAGACAAGACTAGAAAACAGGCAGGATTTTGATCTCTGCATCCATTTCCCTTGAATTCAGTATAATCAAAATATTAGGTTGGAATTAAATATTCATGTTTAACCTCCAAAGAGGAGATAATACAAGCTTTTACCATAATACAAGCTAGTGCCTAATCCCACTCCTTGTTCTGCGGCAGTAATCGTGTTTGATACAGGCGACGTGGCTCTCTGTCGCTGTCTGGACACTGGCAGTGTGTTTGGATGTTGATTGGGGAAAAGTTGAGATGATGCCGTGAATCTGCTACAGATGACCCTGAGCTAACACCCTAACAGTTAGAAAACAGCAACCATCTCCACTGAACCAAATGATCATGCTATCATATAGTCCTTATTGGAAATTGCATTAAACTGAACAGGTTCAGTCGTTTTTGCTATCTGCCCTGTATGCACAGGGCAGATAGCGTTCTGTGGATGTGAGCTTTGACACCTGCAGAGTTCTTCATCCTGCACCGTAAACTCAAACGGTAAACTTCATGGGCATAACCCAAACTTTCGGAGTGTTTCCAAAAAGTTTCACTCTGCGACCTGGAGTCAAAAAGTGTCACAAAATATCTGGATAGCAACAAACGTGTTACGGTTTAACTGAAGAGCATCTTTCTGCAAGCAGCTGCTTCACATTGAGTCCGAGGTCAGTCTATGGTCCAACATGGTCTATGGATTTTTTCCCAAAGGAGTATTTAGTGTGGATTAACCAGCAACTATCCAAACGTGGAAAGATGATTCTCAGTATCAGTCAGAGTGAAGCAGTGTGTGTGATGTGTCCAGGTCTGTGTGTGTTTGTCAAACAACACCAGGACCGACGCAGCGGGTGCTGAGCTGTGTGGGGCTCTGCACAGCTTCAAATGTGAGTTCAAGTTTCATCAACATGTACAGAGCAGCTCACATATTATCATGACATCATTTCTTTGGATGAAGTTGAAGACTCACACATCTTTAAATTTAAATTTTGAATAAAACACTTGAATAAATAGGTTCATGTTCCCTTTCAAAAGGAACATGAGTTTTCTGACCTCAACCATTTAATTTCAGCAACATCCTCCATTAAGATGATCCAAAACAGTAAATCGATTGTTTAAAAAACAGGGGTTAAAGTTCATATAGACTTTGAAATTGATCAAGATGTTCAAAAGGTGTCTCTAGTTATTAGCTCCATGTGTCTGATGACTAGTCACCGGCTCCACTAGTCACCGGCTCCTCTAGTCACCGGCTCCTCTAGTCACCGGCTCCTCTAGTCACCGGCTCCACTAGTCACCAGCTCCTCTAGTCACCAGCTCCTCTAGTCACCAGCTCCACTAGTCACCAGCTCCACCTGTTACCAGCTCCTCTAGTTACCAGCTCCATGCGGCGCCGGCTGCTGTCCTGCTCCCTCTGGCTCAGCTCGTCCATCTCCAGCCTCATCTCCTGCAGCCTCTGCTGGTAGTACCGGGCGTGTTCCTTCTCTCGAGCTTCAGCCTGGGCGCTCTGCTCCAGCTCCTCTCCCAGGCGAACCACACTGTCCCTCAGACGCAGCACCAGCACCTGCAAATGGGCACAAAATTAGGGTCCGAAACCGGGCATGGACTAACTACAGCCTCTGACACGGTGATAATTAATGAGTTGGAAAAGCTTCATCTGATCTTACCTCAAACCTCTTGACTTGCCCCTTCTGAAACTCCAATTTGTTTTCCAGGTCACACACACGGGCCTCCTGTTTGCTGACTATGCTGCGCCCCACAGTGGACGACTCCAGGAACTGCACCCTGGACACGCACTGCTGAAGCTGCAGGTGGAGGACGTGGAAAGGCCGGAGTGAGACGAGCACATTTAAATTCAACGTGACGCATGAGAAGCGGCGCTCCACCTGCTGCTCGCCGTTACATTAAGACGCTCAACAAGAACGTTAAATGACCCAGAAAGCCATTACAATCTCATCTGCAGAACTCCCAGCAGCACATTCACTTCATAAAGCTCTTAGTGTCGAGTTTATTTTCTACTCGTCAAACACATATCACCTCCTCTTGGAGCGAGCGTCTCTGTTTCTTCACCTCCTCCAGCTCGGCTTGCAGCTCTCTGATCTGAGAGATGTCACTGGAGGACTGAAGGGGACAAAGTGGGACTGAGACCTTTTCTTTTTCTATTTCTATTCAGGTTAGAAATAATCCGGCAAGTGAAAATAAAAATAATAATAATAATACTTGTGCAATAAGAGCTTTGTGTTTCTTCATCAGCTCATTGAGGTCTTCCTGGTCTTCCTCCAGCCTCTTCAGCAGATCCATCTTCTCATGCTGCAGCAGCGCCAACTGTTCATCCACCTGGACTCACACAGTCATAGAGACACAATAAAACAGATATTTGGACTTTAGCTTTTTCTCTAAGAAAAAAATAATAATAAATCGAGAAAAAATATAATCTTTAATATAGTTTAACATCTAAACAAAACTGCAAAATTCCTTGGTGATCTTCACTCATGTTTACTTATGGTTTAATAAAGCTCAGACTGAAAATGTATGAGGTTTATCATAAACTCCTTCAAGGTGTAAACAGAAGAAACGGACTGAATGAACAGACACGGGTTTGTCCAAGAAATCTAAAAGTTGGGACAATTATTAAAAACAAATGTACTTCAGCTGGATGAACTCATGTAATTCTGAGAGGAGTTAAAACATAAATGGATAAAAATCTCTTGCTAAACAAAAACAGTGAGGTTTGATTGTTGAGTTTGTCCACAGACTTTGCTAGAATTTCATTTTGATCTTTTTTGGAAAAATATTCAGGAAAGATGCTCCTGCTTATATTGATAAAGCTAAAAGCTAAAAGCTAAACTTCTCCACTGCTTTAACCTGTACTTTGAGTTCTCACTGTTGATAAAGATTAAAATCTTGCTTACTATTTTTTTCTGTATTCATTCCTTTTTAGTTTTTTATTTGTTTTATTTCTAAGTGGAATGCATTTTTTAATTGTTTTTTTTTTAAACTAATAAAAAACCTGCCACTTTGAGTTAGTAGATTTTTTGTCCAGATGATTCACAGGTTAAAAGTTCTGTTGTAGAACCGGGCCAGTAGAAGGGTTTGACTGAAGAATACATGAAATGGAGTTGATATCCATGAAAGTCTAGAGGAACTATCACAGATGACAGTTTGCTCTGGCTGACTGAGGATGGTGGATTTGGTTTTCACTCACCACACTCTTCTGCCTGCAGATATTCTCCAGCTCCAGCTGGACGTTCTCCAGCTCCATGGCGACGGCTTTCTGTGAGTTCTCCGCCTCCAGCCGCCTCGCCTCGCTCTCCTCCAGCTGAACGGAAACACAGAGCGTGAACACGGAGCGCCCCCTCTGACTTCCTGGCAGAGCTGGGCCCAACGGCGCCGCTCACCTGGCAGTGCAGGCGTTCGATCTGGTCTTTGCTGCCGTTGGGTCGGTTCTGGCCTGAGCTGTCCAGGGTGGCGAGGAGCAGCTGGGCGTCGGCCAGCAGGGCGTGGGTTCTCTTCAGGTCTCTCCTCAGCTTCCTCTCCATGTCAAAGTCTCTGTGTCCCACCTGCAACGTGACAACGCTTAGATTCTTTAAAGGCAGAAAACGGGACGAGGGTTTGGCTTCCGAGAAGTTTTGAAGTTCAGTTATTTAAATTAGAACAATTATCCAGGTAACAAATGAAGCAACAAAGTAACCTTCATGCCTCTGGGAGAAACTTTTCTTTTCACTTGTAGGTTTAGGAGGGAGCTCACCTGCTCACACAATGTTGCTATGAGTCCCTCCAAGTCGTGCTTCTCATGAATCACCATCTGCTTCTCCTCGTACTCCTGCTCCAACTGCATCTCCAGCTGCTTCAGCTGCACAAACACACACAAACACAAACACACACGAGTTCAGTCCAGACAGCAGAGCGGTCAGTGTGTTCATTTCAACCTCTGGGGTTCTACTAGGAAGATGTGCTCGGGAATGCTCTACTTTCTAACTATTGCTCCAACCACTCCAAACCCTGGCTTTCTAACCACATGGGCAGATAGAGGTTTAATGCAAAAGCAAAAGAGGTGGATTAGCAGTGCTAGCCAACAGCTAGTTATGTCACCCAGGACCTGTTGCTGTGGAATATCATCTCTGCTGCTCAGAAATTGAGCTGTTAGCATGTCATGACTGTCAGTCTTCAGTCAGAGGAGTATTCAGATTCGTTGCAAGACGGACTGCTACTGGAGTTCCTTCCATCATCCACAGCGACTCTCTAAAGGAACTTGGATGATGTGAGTTATGACAAAGTATTTTTGAACTGAATTCCTAAAAAAATGTTTTTCAAAAGGAGCAGCTGTCAGGAGTTTAGAGTATTAACAACTGATATAAAACATGTTATATATTTGATTGAGTCCTGAGCAGACGCTGGAGCAAACATCTGTTCATCATGTAAATCTGCCTCCCAGGTCGGACCCACCCGTCTCTGAGAGGACTTATGGACGTCCTCCAACTCTTCTTCTTTATCCTCCAGCTCCTTCTGATGCATCTGCTTCATCCTCTCCACCTCTATCTCGAACCGCATGTGGATCTGTTGGGTGAGAGGTGCAGGTGAGCCGCGGCGGCCAGCGGACAGGTTTGTGCCAGCCCTCCGCCGTGCGCCCCGTCGACCTGCTTCTGCTGCTGAATCTGGGCGGACAGTTTGCTCGTCTCCTTGGCTTTCTCGCTGGCCTGGCTCTCCAGGAGGCGGATCTGTTTCTTCATGTCAGGCACCGAGTCCGAGGCCAAGTCGACCGGCAGGCTCAGGTCTCTGATCTGAGCGCATAGCTCCTCCTTCTGCCTCTGCAGGCGACTCATCTCAGCCTGCATCTCCTGCACACACACACACACACACACACAATAACCATGAACACCAACAGAGAAAATGTGGAGGATGATGGCGCTGCGACTGACTTGCTTAAATGAATCAGGAAACTATCCAATGACTTCAAATTAAAAGTCTGAGGTAGTGACACTAGGCCTGTCACAATAACAAATTCTGCTGACTGATAAAATATCCCAGAAGTTGTTGTGATAAATGATAATATTGTTGTCGTTTTTTAGAGCATTTACAAGTAAAGTAATGATATGCAAGAAACACAAACACACCTGCAGGCTGCGGCGCAGGCCGAACACTTCAGAACCCAGAGCTGAGTTCTCCTGCAAGGCTTTGTCCTTCTGCTCTCTCTCACTGTTGGCCTCCTCCAGAGCCTGGGCCAGCTCACTGTCAAACCTGCAGAAACACACACACACACGCACACACACACAGAAAGCACAGAAATAAGCACAAGTTTGTTGGCTGTGAGGAAAAGTCTTATCACTGCAGTGAAAATGAAGATATTTCAAAAACAGGAATTAGAGAGAATATTATTATCTATTCATTGAACAGCCAGAGCTGAAGTGGAGGATCAGTGAAGCAGCAAGGAGGTGTGTGTCTGAAGGGAAGGTGAACCTTCTCTGTTTGCGCTCCAGTTCGTGCATGCGACTCTGCAGGGCATCGCTGAGTACTCTGGCATCCTGGAGTTCAGAGGTCACCCTGCGACAGTGGCGTTTCAGCTCCGACGCGCTCCTCCGAGACTGCTCCAGCTGGGCCTGCAGCGTTGCCACCTACACACACACACGCAGATGGTGTTACCTTGAGACAAGTGTTACCTTGTCTCAAGGTAACACGCCCGGCGCTGCCGGCGCGTCCCGCCTCACCTTGGTGTCGAGCTGCTGTCTGCTCTGCCTCTCCGTCTCCAGCTTCTCCTCCGTCTGCTTCAGACGTCTGCGGACGAACTCCACCTCGGTCTGGCAGCACTCCAGCTGCATGGCCAGCTCGCCCTCTGAATGACGGGACACTCGGGCATCAGTTTGTCTGAGTCTCCGTTCATTAAAACTTTTCCCTGTCAGGCGTTCCCGAGGTCCGGGCACGACGCTTTTATTGAGGAAGTTTTAGTATTAAATACCTGATCCACAGGAACAAAGCGCCTGATAAAAGCTACAGTTTAAATCAAGGATAGTCATAACCCATGATAAGGGTTTCATATCAGTCGAGGTGAATAATTTCTGTTTAGTGATTTTTTTGTTTGTTTTCAATATCTAGTGACATGACTTTTCTTGTTTCAGCCACAGTTTTCACTTCATGTCGTTTATCTTTTAGCAGTTATGTGACAAAATCATAAAGGGGCAGTATTATATATTTTCCAACCATAGTCACATTTCATAGAACAATTAAGTAACTACGTTACCTTCATTTGTTATAAAAATGCTCTTTGTATCAACAACTTAAAAGACATTTGAGTTTGTAATATGATGCCTTGAAATTGGGCCTCTGTCTCTTTAAAGACTGCTGCCTTTTCTATAATGAGCTGAGCTGATGTGCAGTTCCACCAGGTGTTTGCTAATTGCTGCTGGCTAGTCTGAAGGAACTGAGTGGAGGACGGCTGCTTTATGTTGGGGAAGCCTGAAGGCGGAGCTAGGTCCACCCAGGCGTTTTGCACAGCTGAATGGTTGCATGAAAAAAATCAAAGCCTTAATTACGTATAAGCCTTTTTCTGCTGTTTGTTTCCTCCACCATCTCTACATTAACAGGTTTTCTCACTTTTTCACATTTGATCATTCAGCAGCCAAACCTCAGTGTGTTTTTGCGTTTTGTCTTGCCAGCAGACTTTCCTCTCGTACCTGTTGCAGCTCCTCTCTGACTTGCAGCAACTTGAGCTTTCTGCTTCTCCTCCTCCAGCTGCTTCTCCAGGGTCTCCATGGTAACCTTCCACTGCTCCAGCCGAGCCTTCAGAAGTCACAAATTAAACAACAAAAAAGACGCAATCGCTCAGATTTTTTTATTTTAATCATTAAATTACAATAGACAGCAGTCATCATGCTAGAAGGTAGTTAGCTAGCCTGCTCACCAGCAGGTCCTTGTTCTCCCGGCTGAGTCGAAGCCTCTCTGCCCTCTCCACATCCAGAGCCTGACCCACTGCATCGCCTCGGAAACGCTCATCACTTAGTTCTGATGTCACAGCGGTAACCTGCACATATAGAGCACATTAATAGCAGTGAGTGTGTGTGTGTGCGTGTGTGTGTGTGTGTGTGTGTGTGTGCGTGCGTGCGTGCGTGCGTGCGTGCGTGCGTGTGTGTGTGTGTGTGTGTGTGTGTGCGTGTGTGTGTGTGTGTGTGTGTGTGTGTGTGTGTGTGTGTGTGTGTGTGTGTGTGTTGCAGCTCTAACCTTGGTCTCCAGGCTGTCTGCAGTCTGCCTCAGCTCGTTCCTCTCCTTCTCAGACTTCTCCAGGCGGCGCCTCAGAGCCGATATTTCATCCTTTCAGAAAACAAAAGAGAAGCTTTTTACTGAGACACAAACATCCTTTAAGGCGCACCACAAACACTTGCTGGATGAATTGCTGTTGTTATTTTTCTTGTTTTCCATCACTGAGATCAGCGGGTGTTAGATGTGTCTGTCAGGTGATGCTGCTGCAGCTCACCGCTAATCCGTCTGTTTTTACTGTCACTTTAAGGTACAATGGCTTTGTCTCTAAAAAAACAAAAAAACAAGACATTTTTCTAAATGAATTATTAGATCCCTAAGATGCATCATTACAACCCCACAGTACTTTCAGATTTGAACTGTTCGGCCAAAGTGACCGTTGTTATATTGTGAGATACAACGTCAGAACTGAACTTGGTGATGGAAGCATCATGTTGTGGGTATCAGATGATACAATGAGGAAAGAACAATATGTGACAACACTGCAGTGAAAACTTCAAGACATCATCCAGGAAGTTAAAGCTGGATCTTCCAAATGGACGATGATCATAAACATGCTGATTAATTAGTTTTAATGTGTTTTAAAGTCACTCAATAGCTAGAATGCCTAGAAACCAATGACAAAGGCCCACCTGGGCCAAGTCCAACTCAGTAGAAATGTAGCTGGATGGTTAAAAGTTTGATAAGTTCTAACGATCTGTGCATAAACTGAAGGTTGGGTGAGGGAACAGAAAGTTTACATCCTGTTAATCTGATGAGAAAGTGGACAGAAGAAGAGATTTTCAGCCACATTCTGTGATTTATTCCACCTGCAGGGACGCTCTGGAGAGGATCTGTGCATAAACACGAACGTAAAACCAATTATTTAAAAGGAAGTGAACTGAAGGAGGTCCGTATGAATGTCTGCACCTCCTTGGTTCTCAGTCTTTCGTTGTCCATGTTCACATCGAGCAGAGGGCGCAGCCTGCAGAAAAGTTTCCACCAGCTCCACCCGGCTACAGCCTTCAGAACCCGCAGGTTCCTCTGTAGACACCTCACCGCCATCTGCTGTGCCTGGAAACACAAATACACACACAGGCGGAAACAGTAATGTAAAAAGTCTGAGTTAAAATCACATCTGAGTTCATATCGTAAACTCATCTCATTATGGCAGGAAGTGGATGAATATTCTGGAGGAACTGCATGAAGAGGATCAGAGTTTTAATTCAAAGATGATTTCAAAACCTCTATCAATTCATGACATCTCAGATGTCTTTGACACATGATACGTAGCCAACTGAAGAGCTCTTTATTTATGTCGGAACCAATTTCTACTTCTATTTAAATGGCATTTGTTGCATAAACACATCTGCATATTTTGTAAAAAAATAAAAAATAAAAATTCTGAACATAGATCAGAGTGAACTTACATTTTCCCTCCACTTAGTGGAGGAAAAATGCATAGTTGAATATATTCAAGAATAGAAGCTGTATTTTATTAACTGGTTCACTCAGAAAAAAGTTGCCACAGAAACAGAATAAAACAGTAGAGCTGGAGTTGCACATTTTATATATCTGAGGTGTTTAACAAGAGAGAGCAGATGAGATGACATTTTTATGGTCTCTAAGTAAATGTTTTTAGTTTTAAAACCTCTTGAATCGACACGTAAAAGTGTTTCAAAGATTAACCACAAGAAATCCAGACCATATCATCACTGTCATATTTTTACTAATCTCAGATAATATTCTTTCTAATAAGTAGGATTATTTTCTACATTTTGAAAATCTGATATATTATGCACACATTTGCCGGGTTCATAAAAGCCCCCATGACATTCCTGCTGCACCTGAACAACCACTTTGAGGTCAGATAACGTGACTACAGGGCGCCCTCTAGAGCTGAGTGAAGCATCTCAAAATCCAGGACTGTTTTTACTAAACTGCCTTCTCTTTTATTGTTTTGAGTCATTCAAACAGCTTGAGATGATAACATGTTCTAGTTATAAAATATCTGCACATTGGGCAAAATTACAGATATTAAACCAGATTAGCACTTATTGTTGAGGAAGGCCAAGAAATGGTTAAACTGCAGGTTTGTAGTTTGGAGATGGAGTTAATTATTATGCTGACTTTTCACCAAATCAGGTCCGGCCTGGAGCTCCACAAACTGAACCGGACTGGAGCTCCACAAACTGAACCGGACTGGAGCTCCACAAACTGAACCGGACTGGAGCTGCACAAACTGAACCGGACTGGAGCTGCACAAACTGAACCGGACTGCTCCACAAACTGAACCGGACTGGAGCTCCACAAACTGAACCGGACTGGAGCTCCACAAACTGAACCGGACTGGAGCTGCACAAACTGAACCGGACTGGAGCTCCACAAACTGAACCGGACTGGAGCTGCACAAACTGAACCGGACTGGAGCTGCACAAACTGAACCGGACTGGAGCTGCACAAACTGAACGGACTGGAGCTGAACCGGACTGGAGCTGCACAAACTGAACCGGACTGGAGCTCCACAAACTGAACCGGACTGGAGCTCCACAAACTGAACCGGACTGGAGCTCCACAAACTGAACCGGACTGGAGCTCCACAAACTGAACCGGACTGGAGCTCCACAAACTGAACCGGACTGGAGCTCCACAAACTGAACCGGACTGGAGCTGCACAAACTGAACCGGACTGGAGCTGCACAAACTGAACCGGACTGGAGCTCCACAAACTGAACCGGACTGGAGCTCCACAAACTGAACCGGACTGGAGCTCCACAAACTGAACCGGACTGGAGCTGCACAAACTGAACCGGACTGGAGCTCACCTTAAGTTTGCGGTACTTCTGACGTCCCAGATGTCCCTTACAGGCGGCCTGCAGGTAAATCAGCCACCCTGTCACCTGCTGATCCCTCTGCTGCTCCAGGTATTGTAGCACACCTCTCTTCATAAACACCTGAGATTCAGCAGAGAAAAATATATTTCAGTCATAGCTGACTGACTCCTGTTTTACCAGCTGATGGCTCCACCCTGCTCTCACCCTGCTGGCTCCAACCACAATGCTGTTTTTATCTATGTCCAGCTCAACCAGCAGCTCCTCCACTGCCTGGCACACAAAGGAGAGAGAGAGAGAAAAAAGATTTATTTATATTTTTGGTCATGAGAACTCCAGCGATTCACTTCTCTACCTTTCTCTCATCATGGCTGACAAACATGGAGGAGTAACGCTTCATAATCAGAGGAGAGAGAGCCTGGAAATGGCACCTGAAGTCACTGAGCGTCTTGTGTTCTGGATAACCTGGAGACGGAGAGGAAAATATGGCTTTATATGAAATTCTTTTTATTGATTTAGAACCTTCTGACACTTCTATCTTGAAATAGGAGTTATGGAATTATAAAAGTTTGTATTTATGTGATCAAATTTCAAAATCAGATAATCAAAAGGGGCCGTGATGTAAAATCTGTAAACTAACTCACTGACCATTTTATTAGAGATTAGCTGTATAAGAAAAAAAATAAAAATTATGGCAGCCCTGAAGAAATAAGATCTAGCCTGACAAAAGGAAGGTATGCTGTGACTATGATGAAATAAACTCATTTTAATTTTGGGCCATATCAAAAACCTGAATGTTCTCAAAGGGCCGCTTGTGCCAGAATATACCAATGAAGCAGTATATTCATGATATTTTTGCGTGTATAATGATGAATGAGAATTCAGGGCCTTTGTTGCATTTTTGAACTTAAAAATATTATCTGTCCCCAACAATTTCACACACACTGAAAAAAACTCATTTTCAAACCAGGAAAAAGTCACTTTTTACACTTTATTAATAACTCATTTGACGATTGATAGATTTGAGAGATCTGAATTGTGAGATGTGTAACTCCAAACATCCTGCCCAAACAAACTTATTCACGTGTGTTTTAATTGTGTTTCTTATTTAATTGGAGAAATTTCTTATCTAAGAAATTGTTTTTTTTTACATAAAAAAACAATTGTGTTTTTGACAACAGCAGAATATTGATAAAGTTTTGTGTACATTTTGTAATGGATGTAATGGATGATGCTGTTTCAGGATCTTTGCAGTTTTCTGGAAGTTTGTTCTGGATTTGTGGTGCATGGAGACTGAATGTTTGGTTCTAGCAGTGCCAGTAGAGACAGTGATGTTACCTGTAGTAAACGTGTTTATTGTACACACTAAAATAATGATGATGGTTATCATTTTATTGTAATTAAATATACACTCCCACAGTAAAACTAAGTTGTCTCTCAATATTTCTTTGTATAAAATTTCCTCTCCTTTTTCATTTTTGGGACGGCAGTGATTTTGGGTTCAAGTCCGATCACTGAATAACTGTCAGAAACTGGTGAGTAACCAGTAGGTTGTACTGTTTGATGTCTGGCCTGTCTGAAGATCTGAACTCCTCAGTTCAAACGTGAAGCTGGTCTGAGGTGAAGGGCTGACCTGTGCGGTAGAGCTGCAGGGCCGACAGGATCTGGGTGGAGTGCAGCTGCACTCTGAGAGCCGGCACGTCCAAACCGCCGCTGCTCGATTTTGCGCTGACACACTGTAGGAACACCGGCCTGGCTCGGCGGATCAGGTTCACCAGTGCGTCCTGCAGGACCGCCAGACGATGACATCCGTCACGCCTCTGGGGTGACGTCAGAATGTGGTGACGGTAACGCCATACGTACCGCCTGCAGCTTCACTGCTATGCACTGGGAGTGTCTGCGTATGGCCGCCATCCCGCCACTGAAGGTTTTCCGGATGATTCCGTTCCGCTGCAGGGCACGCTGGCTGCCTCCCTCCAACCCGGCCAGGCCGCGGCACAGAGGCGGGAGGGAGATCCTGGGGGTGAACATGGCCTTCACCACACCTCTGAGGAAGAACAGGAGAGAAACTCATCACATGTTCCAAAACGAAGAGGAAGCTGCAATCCAAACTGATCTTCTTCATCTGTGCAGACAAAGAATCTGCATAGTATAGCGTGGGATTAAACTTTGTTATAAATGACACATTGCTGTCACTTTGAGTTGGACTAATTCAGGAGCAGTACAAGATTTAAAGCTTACATAAGGATGTTCATAAAGAAAAATGAACGCTTTACCAGAAGTGTAGGAAGTCTGGGTAGGATTGTATTATGTTTTGTGGTGATATTGTAATAATGAGAAAAATTATGAGACCGAAAACTTATAGAAAATTGGGAGTATTTTTTCCAAAATTAATACCTTTCCATTAAGCAAATTTATATTTGTGGTTAATGGAAACAACTACTGTCCTTCACCCACAAGTCCTTATCTAACTGTGAACCTACTGAGTTCATTTCATTTCCTTTGACCACAACATTAATAACCAAACATCTCACGGAAGAGTAAAATAAAACAAAATATTGAAAAAAACCCAGTAAAACTTCTAGCCATGTTGAGGCAAAAAGGGGCTGGTGTGTAGGAAAACTGTTTAAAGCGATAATAACCACTAGCTGGTAAACAGTGGTAGAGGAAAACTGTCCGGTCAGTCGGTGTCTTCAGGCTGTCCACCTGCTTTTGGCCTTTCAGCAGATTAATATTCTGCTGACTTTGTGCTTCCAGACTCACATGGTGGAGCTTTGGAGCAGAGTGATGGCATTGAGAGCAGACGGGTTGCTCTGGATCCGACCGAACCATCCTGAGAGGTCGTACCGGACCGGGTCGTGTCCCGACAGGTGGCTCACCTCACACTGCAGCGGCTGCTCACACTGACGTACTGCAGAAACACACACACCCACTTCAGTTATGTCACTCTGAAGGAAACCACTTGCTCATACACACAGCTCTGGTTATAAGAGTGTGTGTGTGTGTGTGTTTGATATTTACCAGTGTTGCCGTAATACTGACAGACTCTCTGCAGGGCGGCGCTCTCACAGGAGGAGGGCGTCACCATCTCTTCATCCAGAACCCACAACAGACCTCGGGGGTCTCCATCTGGTGCCCGGACCTGGAACACACACACACACCCCCACACACACACATGCAAAATCATATAAACAGCTCCTGTTTAGGACAAAATCTGTCTTAAAAGACGTGTTCAGAAACGATGTGGTGGACCTCGGACCTGCGCAGGCGACTGATCGATGGCGGACACCACCTCTGAAGAACTGCTGTCTGGACACTCGAACGCCACATGGATCCTCTCCTGCACCAGAAAACACACACAGCTCTAACATCAGAGCTGTCTCTACAGTCACACGCTTCACTCATCCAGTTTTCTACCAGTTGCTGATTCTCTGTATTTATTAACTAGAAATTGGTTCACTAGACTTTGATGCTCAGGGGAAAAATGTGTGAAGCAGTGAAAATCTCAGAGAAACAACTTTAACAACAGTTTATGTGCCATGAGGTCTTAGCTATTCCAGTGTTTATTTTTCGGATCAACTCTAAGTATTAGTGGAAGGAAATGGCTTTCAAACCATTTGACAAATAAAAATGTTACAATGGTCTAGTCAAAGTCTAAGGCTTTCTTAAAAATTAATCTTTATTTCAGCAGGAATATTTAAAATCTCTTTTACAAGAGAATCCTGACCAAGATGATCAGAATCACATAAAGATTATAGAACATTCACAACAAAAACAGAAAAAAAGTTAACACTTATTGATCTTTTGATCAATAATTTGATCAAAAGATTCCCCAGTTGAAGCATCAATGAAGGAAATATCATTCAGAATCTGAATTACCAAACCCTAGCCCACCTATCCCTAATTCTGATGTTATCAGCAGCTCTCCATCAAACCTGACTAAGTTTAAAATCCTTCGCAACTGCAGCCAAAATTTGCATCAATTTCCTTCCACCTCATAATTTTACACTGTCTTGTGTTTGTGTGTCACATAAAATACCAACAAATCCCACTGCGTGTTACCTGTGTGTATCTCTCCAGTGTGTGTGTGAAGGTGTGTGAGTGGTAGTGCTCCAGCAGCCGCTCCTGCAGGTAATTGTGACACAGCTCTGACCAGCCGGCCCCTCGCTCCTCCGCCGAGTGTCGGGGGTTCCTGAGGCCCGGGGCGTCCACCACCATCACAGAGGCTAACGCTAGCTGCTCGCCGCTCAGAGCTCTGCAAGCAAAACAGAACCGACGTCACACCTGCTCCGGTTTCTGCAAAAAGGCATCAGAGCTGCCAGGACAGAGACCAACCTCTCCATAAGTCAGAGGAGTCCAAAGTGCAGCCCTGTAGCATTTTCTTTAATTTTATAGTAAAAACTGACCACATCTATCCGGCGACTTTTACTCTGAAGCGTTCTAATCTGCAGTTTTATCTTTACTTGACCTTTATTTACACCGATTGTTTCACTGAGATCCAAACTCTCATTTACAAGAGAGAACAAATAATGACGAATACAGCAACACAGCAAAACATGACAATAAAATATGAGAGCAAGTTTCAGAACATTTTTCTTTGTCTTAAAAAATGTGTAAATTGTACCAAATAAATTAAAGGACTTTATTAAGCTAGACCAAATAAGAGATGAGTGACCCAGGCTGAGAAAAGACTCAAGGATTACTTGTTTTATTAAAATACTGCATTGCTGAGAAATGTTGTTGAAAAAGCACAAAACAGCACAATGCATTTTTTTCTGTGACTGGCTTTTCAAATAAGTTGTAGTGTTTGGCCTGTGTGATTAATGTCTGCACACCCGTCCTGGATATGAAAAACACTTTTGATTCCTACAAACTGAGTCCATGAAGCAAGGCGATACAAGGCGCATAGTGCTTTGTCGTTCTGTGTAATCCAGCTCCCTTTTCTGCAACAAACGGTGATTTTATGACTCGTAACGTTGCGTTGTTTAAAATGCTGTCCTACCTGTTGATGAGAGACACTATGGCAGTGAAGAGCTCTTCATAGAGACCAGCAGCCATTCCATCCACACACTGAGCAGCTGTTAGACGGGGACCTGCACAAACCACAATCACAGAGGAGGCTGAAAGACTTTAGCTTCACTGAAACCAGGGCCGGTCCCAGGCTTTCTGGGGTCCTGAGCAGAGTTTCATTTGGGGACCCACATACCAACAGGTAAATGCCAGATTTGTCATAACTCCTAAGCTACTTTATGTATGCTTACTATCATAAGCACTAATTGTAATAAGCTTACATCACGACATGTTATGGTTATTTATCTTAAACTCACCTGAGCTTGCTGTGGATTTAGAAACATTGAGGGGTTCTTAGGTGTGTCATACCATTCTATTTTATATTTAGAAATCATTATCAGATGGTAAGAACTAGATTTACAGTAACAAGTTTGTTATCTTATATTTCCCTGACAGTGGCAGCAGCCAGCAGCAGGAAGAGATTAACTTGTAATTCCTCCACTCTGCCTCTGTGGGAGCGTTTCCCCTCCAGTTGCTGTGACCCTCACCCTCCTCGGCCTCGTTCCTCTCTCTGCTGAGTCCGGTGGCTTTCTGCAGCAGCTGCCGCAGGTGATGCTTGAAGACGGCCGTGTCCAGCTCCTCCGCCTCACACCCCAGGACTCTGCTGGCTGCCTGAGCGCTGTCAAAGTTCACGAACTGTCTCCGGCCCACTGCACATCAAAGCAGAGCGCGCTGCATCATGAAGCCTGCTGGCAAACAGCTGCAGCCAGATACTCACAATAAGCAATTTATCACATGATAAATTAAAATGATCTCGATAATTTCCATTCTAATATTAAATATTTATTGATGGGAAATTTTGGTTACAGAGACATTATAATTCATTATATCAGTGGTTCCAGTTGTAAGTGGTTTTAGTTTGCGTTTTATTTATTGTTTTTATTCTGGATGTTTAAATTACAGTTCCAGTTTACAGAATGAAAGCTTGTTGGTTTTTGAGTGGAAGAACTCAAAACGCTCTAAAAACAATGTTATCATTTATCGCAATAATTCCTGGGACAATTTATCGTCCAGCAAAATTTGTCATTGTGACATGCCTGATTTCCATACACTGAATAAAAACCTCAGCGATTTAACTTTCTCTAAAGTTAAATGAGTCCAATCTTCTCTTGTTTGGGGTCGGTTACAATCGCAGAAATTATTTCTACATGCTAAATACCAGAATACCGAGAATAGCAAGAACATTTTTAAGAGATTTCTTTGTAACAGAGAATCTAAAACTTCTCAAACCAGTACTAACAGTAGGTAACGTAAATGTTAGCTACTGTACTTCCAGTAATATGCTGTTGAGCTGCTCCTCCTTCTTTGAATTAGCTGATCTGTTCATTACTATTCTTCCTCTTCAGGCCTCATGGTGAAAACATTTCCACACTGTGAGGAGATTTGATCCACTTTCACCTGAACAGCAACTCTAATCAAATACTCTGTGTGGTTAAAGGCCATGAACTCGGTCCACATATGTGTGATCACTGAGTGTGTGTGATTGATGATGATGATGATGATGTGTCACCTTTACAGGCCCCAGCAGCTCCCAGGTGGTAAATAGCAGCCAGAACGTGCCAGATCGCCTTCTGCTCTCCGGCTGAGAAGCTTAGCATTTCCATGGCAGCCAGCAGCTTGGTGAAGGCGACAGAGGCTCGCTGTTTTTCTTCAACCTGCAAACAACCATCTAGAATTGTTGCTCTCTGTAATGCAGTAAATATTTATGATCAGAATAAAGAACGTGGGTGATTTCTTCATAGCTCCTTGGACTAGGACATCATCATAGTTCCTGTACCAGCTGGAGGTCATGCTGCAGTTCAGACGTTTCCTCAGGAAACATCCTTATCTGATGTATGATGACTGTTTATGTTTTACTTATGTATTATCTGGATGGGATGTTACTATAAGATCATTATTTATGCTTTATTGGTGCTGCAAACTTAAACACACTGAATCCTCCCCGTCACCTCCAGCTACAATCAGCTAGCAGAGTTGATTTCCTGGCTCTGCTCAGCGCCGGTTGCTGCTGCGGCTCACTGACACACTGCAGCTCCGTCTCACGTGTTAAGGCCACTGCAGTGACACAGCAGCTGCTAATGAACGCTGTGTTTTTTCAGTGTGTACAGACTGAGCTGGCTGACGATAGCACAGAGTCAGTTTTATTTTTAAAAGACACCTGTTGCCCAGCAGAGAACGATCTGGTTAAAGGAAATTTAATTTTCTCTCCAATACAAACAACTTGGCTCAGTAAAGTTTGAAAAAGCTCCTGTGGGTTGAACGGCTTTGTGCCTGTAATCATATAGGAGTGAAAAATTAACCTTTATGTGTCCATAAACTGTAGATTGTGACAGAAAATCTGGGAACCACTTTCCAGGTGAAGTCAGGATTTTGTCCGGTCAAATAAAATGAAATCTAGATTTTTAGTTTTTCTCTTGTTTATAACATGTATAACAATAGGCGACACTTTGGCACAAACAAATGGTTGGAAAGGGAGATTCAAGGATGCATGAAAAATTATGCTGTGATATAAACATTTTTTGTATGTAAGACGTAAAATCACATTTCCACATGCAAATTCCCAATCACAGGAAATCTGCTGAATTTATGGTTACATGATAAACGCGTGCCGTCTTCTCACCCATCAGCTAACACACTGACACACACACTGACACACACACTGACACACTGACACTGCAGCTGCTCTTTCTGTACCTTGGTGGGTTGAAGGATCCCAAAAGAGTTGGAATCAGGGAGGTGGTGCAGCTGCAGTTCTGTCCTGGGGAGCAAGAAACAGGAAGTCAGTTGCTCCGGGAGACACTTCCTGCCCACAGCATCAGCAACGACTGTCTGAAAATACTTGGACGACATGAATAACCACAAGATCTCATTTCGCTTTGGGATAAATAAAGTATTTTTTGAACTTAATGGAGCTGAATTATTGTGGGAGGGGAGAGATGGACCCTGAACACAGAGACTCCGTCCTGAGGGCAAAATAGAGAAACTGATTGAGTTGTTTTGGGTTTGCAGGAGGAAATCAGAGAACTCAGAGGAAACCTGTGTGTGCATCTCCTGTCTGAATATATAAAAGCATCTGGATATTGAACCGCAGGTTCATCCAGACGTCTCTTCCTGAAATCCAGGCTGATTTCTGTTTTTATCGTTTTGTGATGTCACAGGAGGTAGTGTGGCTCCGTTTAACTCAAATGTTGTAAATTAACCTATAAGAAGCTTATAAAACCATGACATCATCATCTGAACTTTTATCTTTTAGATTTTCAGGCACATTCACGTATGTAAACTTCTGATTTTACAGAACATAATGAAAAGTAATCCACTTCTTCTTCAAAATTTTGCAAAGTTTACATAATTCTGGAAATCTTCACTGACCTAAAACAGAAAATTTTATTCAGACAAAATGACGAACATAATTGGTTAAATTACAAGAGAAACTGACAGAATCTATAGCAGAAAATATAACTGAGAACTAAAACTCTTCCTATGAGGAGATGCTATTGAAAAGCTGCTTTGATTTCAAACATTACCTCATTTCTGAGCTGAGTCCTGCCAGCATCTGGGAGAAGACCAGGAAGTTGCTTTCTCCTGGAGTTTTCTGACACACTGTCCATTTATCCAGCATCATGGTCTGTGTGACGCAGAGCAGGAGGAATCGGCTTCAGTGTGTTTGACTGTTAATCCGCGTGTGTGTGTCTGTGCTGCGTACCTGCAGGTGTCCGGCAGAGACCTGGCCGGCGTGGTTGAAGTCCAGAGAGAAGACCGTGGCGAACCGAGACGAGGCGTCGCTGTGCGGGGAGCTCACACAGCCGAAGGACCTCAGGATGGAGAACATGGCGCTCACTCGCTCCACTGTGGGACAAACACTGAGGATGAAGGACGGCCGGAGCACAGCTGGGCTTTTTATAGGCTGGTTTGATTTCACTGTGACTTTTCCTTTGTCTAATTCAGTTCATTTGAATTAGTTTTTGGAGTACGCATGCTAGTTTTTAACTAGTTATTATTGGTTAAATATTGTTGAGTTTTTAGTAGTTTTGCTGTTTTCATACTTTTGTTCAGTTTTGGTGCAGGATTCAATAAGGTCAAAGTATTGATCTGTGATTATGTTTACGTTGATTGAGTACTGATACCATTTTCAAAACAATATATCCAATTATTGTTGAACAGCTGACTCTGGAGTTTTCTCCCAACTTGTGTGGTCATCATTCTGCAGACGAGCGTTAGCGCCACCAGGAGGAGCCTGGAGGACTGTAACGTGTCCACAGCTGATGGAGGCCGCTGGTGTGGGGCGGAAATGTATTTCTCATCGGTTCAAAACACTAATATTAAGTTTTATTAGCACAAAAACAAAGGAAATCATATTTATAAGTTTTAGTTAGTTTCATAAACGCACAATACAGTCTCAGTTAGTTACACTTCTTCCACATTAATTATTTTACTTCAGTTAACGAAAATGTTTTCTCAGTTTCACTTTTTCCTTGCTTCATTCATTTCAGTGAACTATAAAACCGTTAGCATGACACTCTGGGATGTGTGGTGTGTTTGGTTCTGTTGTGATCCGGAGTTCTCACCGCTGATGTTGGGTCCGACCGCTCCGGCCCGTTTCAGCAGAGTGTGTGTGAACGCCTGGCAGGTGGTGGTCTTCCCCGTGCCGCTGCGTCCCAACGCACACACGCTGTGGTCCCTCCGGGTTCCCACCATGGACAGATACACCCGCTTGACCAGTGCGTCCAGAGCAGGGGGGGCGTCCCACACACACTCCCCCCGCCGCGTCTTCGGGGTCTGAGACAAAAAGAACCGAGGAGAAAAAACGTTTGTGGGAATTTTGTTGTTTTGAAGGCGGAGCTAGGTCCACCCAGGTGTTTCCCACAGCTGAATGGTTGCCACGGGAGATTAAAGGATTTCTCAAATATGCATGAAAGAATCAAAGCAAAACTCCAGGAGTGTTTTTGAGGAGGGAATATCGTCATTAAAGTGTGTAGGAGCTCACCTTGCTGTGGATCTGCAGCGGGGGCCACAGGCTGACCAGGTTGGGTCCAGAGTGAGTGAGGGGCATGCTGGCTTTGGATCGACTGGTCAGTGTGTGCAGAACTCCGCTTTCATTCACACACTGCAGGTCGCTCAGGTCCTCACACATGTCCAGCTCCGACGGGTTACACTGAGGAGGCAGACAGCTGTCAGCATACTGTGCAGAAAGAATATTACAATAAAACTGACCAATCATTTATTTTTTCTCGTTCTTAAGAATGCACATATGTTTATATTTTTCTTTCTTTATGTAAAGAATAATGTGCAAAAAGTAAAACATTAAAGAAAGGGGACAGGATGAAATAAATATAGACTTCTGCCTACTTCCTTTTCCAGTCATGTAAATATGGATCGTGGGATCTGAATGTGAATCTGTTTGAAATAAGTAAATAAAATTACCTCATTTTAATTTGAGCACCGAACCAACATGCTGATGTTTTTAAGCACAAAGATTTTCCTAAAATGTTTGCATTTTTACAAAATATACTTAAACTTATTTGTCATCTACTTCAGTCCTGATCCCACCTCACAAAGGGTTAAAAGAGTTCAAGTTATGCTTTGTAATATTAACATTCAAAATGCTTTGAATAACAATAGTTTAGAGCGTTCTGGGTCAAAGCTGTTCCTCATTTTTGGAGCGTTCTTTGTCATTTCACAGCTTCCTAATTCTGCTTTGTTCACCTTGATAAACTATTTATTTTATATTTTGTATATATGTTTTGCATTTAAGACAAAAACACCTTTGAATGCAAAAGAAATAAAAAATAAATCAAATGTTTTACCCAAAATTTCTTGTGGGCGTTTTAGCTTCACTTGGGTCAATTTCACAAAAAGCAAAGCTGTTATTGCATTTTTGACAATGAAATGTTGATATCCTTATTTAAGGAAGAAATTGAGTTATTCGTTTAGTCGCTTCATTAAAATATTCCTAATATTGTACAAAACAAAAATCTGCAGATTTGTTTTCACTGATAAATCGATTAACCACTAGAATAATGGATTACTAAAATAATTGGGAGTTGCAGCTCTAATGCATATCATTATTGTTGCCGTTATTAATCTTTGTGAGTAAAAAATTAAAAAGAAAGAAAAGCCGTCACCTTTTCGACTTCAAACTCTGTGACGTCGTGGAGCGAGCCGTCCGTCTGCAGCCGGACTCTGACCCGACCCGACGGGAGGTCAGGCGTTCCTTCGTCTGGCTTCAGCTGAGTGGCTGGAAAGACGAGAAGTGAGGATTTGAAAAAAAGAGTCAAAAGATCCCACATGATCAAACAAGCACGCCTCCTTATTTATCGTAAGGTGAGCTTCCCATTGAGATTCTCTGCTTTCTGCACAGTAGAGGTGGAGGTCAGAGGTCAGAGGTCAGGGCTGCCGGGCTCCAACTGGATCGTTACAGTGGCTGGATGAAAGCAGCAGCTGGAACTAATCCACAGCAGGACGTCCAGCCACTGCTGGCTCACTGCAGACTGAGAGTGGATTAACAGATGATGTTACTGATCCCAGATCACGTCGCTGCAGAGCTGCAGTGTTTACACACACCGGCTAACGCAGCTCGGCTGCATGAGCCGCTCATTAAAACTGTCCCTGGCGGACAGGAAATATTTTTAAAAGGTGCTGTAGAAGCTTGAGGGTTGTCACCTTTTGTTTTTACAAATTACCAAGTAAATGACAATGAATAGATTTTTTATTCATTTGTCTAAATAAAAAATGCAATTCCCTTTAATTCTACTCAAAAAATAATGGATGAAAGGAGATGAAATGCTGCTGTAACTATTTCATTCAAGATCCTTCAAAGAGATGCTGACGTCTGTGAACAGGAAGGAACTCCTGTAGAGGTCTGTGTTACAGCAAAACTGAAGAAGCCTCTGACTGAAGACACTCTGTCTTAGAAGAGCATGGTCAGGGTTGTCTGTAAGTTTCTTGGTTTTATGAAGAATTCTTCATGCATTGTCATCTCCAGAGGTTCTACAGTGAGCCACAGAACAGAACCAGAAAAGAACCAGAACAGTACCAGTCTTCTTTACCAGATTGTTGAGGCTTCTTAGGTCCCTGGTTCTGTCACATGAACTCAATGTCCAGGTTTGAGATGCTCAGAGCTCCGGTCTCATTCCCTGATTAAAGACGAATCGGGTCGATGGAATCATGAAGCGACCTTCTGTCTGTCAACACGGCTGAAAAGTCAGGAGGTTTCTCATGTGGAAGTTTGGCTTTCATTGTCTTTGTCCAGGCAGCTGGTTTGCTAAATGTAAAAGTTTCTGATAAGGAGACTGAACAGCTGCGGTTTGTTTGGAAGCGTTTGGTGTAAACAGAGAGCTGGAGTTTGGCCATGCTGCGGCCATGGAGGAAATAAAAGCATGTTTATGAACAAGAGCCAGACTAACGTCCCTCCAGCAATGCTATAAAGACTAATATAATCAGACAGAAAAAGACAACTGAGAGTTACTGTTGCACTTTTTCTTCATAGAGTTGTTTTCACACAGGTCTGGCTTTCTGCAGCTTTATGAACAAAATAATGACAGGAAACATCTTCTGTTGTTGATCTGCTGAAGTTACTTTTCAGGCCTTTTCTTTCCACTGGTCCTGTGAACGCAGTGTGTGTGTGTGTGTGTGTGTGTGTGTGTGTGTGTGTGTGTGTGTGGGGGTGTGTGTGTGTGTGTGTGTGTGGGGGGGGTGTGTGTGTGTGTGTGTGTGTGTGTGTGTGTGTGTGTGTGTGTGTGTGTGTGTGTGTGTGTGTGTGGCTGCCTCCTGTGTGTGTTCTTCACTCACCGCGGGTGAAGCCGTCTTTGTGGACGAACCACACAGGTCCGACCTCGTACCACACGTCCCTCACCTGACGGGACAGACAGGCAGCAAAACAACAAACAGGTCAAATCGCTAAGAACTGAAACACAGATCAAAGCCATTTGTCTCATTTCTTACTATTTTTTTTTCCTTCTTTAGATTTTTGTAGTTTTACATACAAATAACGTATATCTTAAATATGAAATAGATTTTAAATATTATCAAATCCATCAAAGGGTTTTCTTAAGGCTTCCATGTATTTTTGAAACCATCAGTTGTTTAATGTACTGCTGTGTAAGTAAAATAAAAATAATTCATGATTTTATTGTAATTTTCAATCATACTTGCAGAAGAAAAGCTGATTTTGGCCCCTGAGGACATGTTGGCCCTTGGTTCAGAACATTTGAACACTTCTGGCTCGTGTCTAGTCCAGCAGTGATGGCACCTTTAAAAATATTCATTTCTAAAAGACGTAATGTCCAGACGCACCTCCTTCCCGTTCTGCTCTGTCACGGTTGCGTCAGCTTGCCTCCCCTCTGGTTCCTGTCTCTCCTCGATCCCGTTCTGGTTGCTTTCCACCAGCCTCCCGTCCTCCGTCCTCCTCTCGTTCTGCTCGGGCTCCATCTTCTTCCTGCCCACCACCTCTTGCTTCTTTTCCTGTCGCTGGCTGTGCTTCGGGGGCTCTGGTGAGAGCGTCTGTCCGTTGGAGTCCGGAGTCATTATGTGGCGCTGGGCCGGCAGGCCGCCGTCCGGCTGGACGCAGTCGGATCGTTTCTCTTTGCTGTTGTTGACCAGTTCGGCCCGCAGAGCCATCTCGGCCTCCAGGATGGGAGGAGTCTGATCCGGGACCAGGAACTGCTGCACCAGGTTGTCGCTCAGTTTGTGCGGCTGAATGAGGAGAGAAATGAAGAGATGGTGATGATTTATTTATGATTTATTTGGATGCAGCAGCAAAACCTCCTGAAGGCCTCAAGGACATTTGTCAGACACGAGGCACATAAAGGTGCGTTACAGAAACAAATGCATTAAATGGGCTGAAACACACGACATGAAGAATAAAATACAACTTCAAAAACTCTTGTGATAGACGCACTACATTATTGCTCTTATTTGAGAAGAATGAAGGCAGAATTAGTAATAATCATAATCAGTAGTTTATAACTACTGTCAGGTGTCAGAAATCTGCAACATTTACAATCCAGTTACAGACCATGAAACTGAAATTTAGAGCCACAAATGTCAGGAGATGTTTCATGCCAACGCAACCTACTGTAACTCTTTGAAGAAGTAATGAGTTACAACAATGTTTAATTTGCCTTTGGGATTAATAAAGTGTTTTTGAATTTGAGACATTTTGGACAAAATACATCTTCTGCAGAAATGTGATGGTTTTGAAGGAGGCACTGTTCTGACTCATTTCCAGGTTTGAAAATAAGGAAAACAAAGTTTGTAAAAACATTTTACACAAGTCTTTTTTCCCCTGTGCGATGCTGGAAAATAACAAAGAAAAGTCACAGTCCTAAAGACAACAACAAAAAAACATGGCTCTATAAATCATCTTCTGATGTGGAAATTCAGTCCAGTGATTCCATAACCAACGAGGAATTAAGACTAAAAACCTGCAGTTATCATATCTGCATTTAAAAACATTAACTGGTTCTTTCTCATCTGGAGTTAAAGGGCTAAGAGTCACTGTGGAAGAACAAGAGCCTCAGGTTTGTGATGGACACAAAAACCTGTTCAGAAAGTATCAGTGGTTATTAGTGAAAAGTCATAATCAACAACAGCAAATGACAACAAGTAGTTCAAATCTGATAACCGAGACGTTTATTATTCAGCTCATAAAGTCCCGCCCACTTTTACAGTCTACCAATCGGCATGCTGTGATTATTATCAGCGCCAAATTCAGTCCAGTTGTTTTCCCTTTTCCTTGCATGCTGAAACATGAGGTGCAGTGAAAACAAAGGCTTATTTTATTTTATTGTATTAAAATAAAATTTTAATAAAATAAGATTTTCTAAACCAATAAACCCAAGAAACTAAACACTCAAAACAATAAATTGCAAATAAAGAAATGTGTTCAGTTTGTTGTCCTTGAGTGTTTTGAGGGAGCGTTAACTAACTAAAGCCTGTCCTGTCCATGCAGTCATCCACTTACTGTCCTCTCCTCTTTGACCTCTTTGACCTCTGGCTCTTTATGTTTGGTCTCTTTCTCTGAGTCTCTGACCAGCTGCTTCAGGATGCCTCCCGGCAGGACGGACAGCGGCGGTGGAGGGATGGTGGCGGCCGCCGGCTTGTTCTCCTCCTTTATCTGGAGTTTTAGGAATTAGAGGAACCAGGCAGGATGGGACACGAACAGGAAGTCATTGTGCAGCGCATGCTGACCTTTCATCAGATGAGACGTATCCATGCAATATTTGACAGAAAGCCGTCAAACAAACAAAAAGAAATATCTGCACATCGACCAAGACTTGATTAGACGCAATCAACTTGATTGTAAATAAATAATATATTTAGACGTAACAGTTTTATTGTTCCAATAATTAAAATGTGTAATAAGAAATCTCCCTGATTTATGTACTTCATCCTACAGTTTGATCATCAATAGATATTGAAACTGATCAGTTTTATTCATAACATTGAATAGTTTTTCATAGCCTATCAAATTTGCTACGTTTAAATATCTTCCACAAAATAAAGGGTAACATTATGAAGTATTTATAAGTGTGAGCTATTACATTTAACACAAGAAAATTCAAAAATATAAATATGACGGTATTTATCTAATAGGAATCAGCAAATCAAAAAAGAAAAAGATTTGCTACTGAAAATTAGTTTTAATCTTTAAATATCTTCTTTTTTTTAATCGCTCAGAATAAAGATAAAGAGCATCGATTCATTATTTTCCATGGCAGTTTATTTGTGGAAAGTGATGGGTTTTTTTTTTAAATCTTATTATTTTGACATTAAGTTCCCAGTATTGAAATAAAAGAAAATATAGATCTAGAACATTTGACTGGAACCTCTGGTGTCATTTTGTTGTGGAAATTCAATGAGATCATTCAATAAAACCAGTGAAAAAACTGCCAAAATGTTCATCTGTTGTTAAAAACATGAATTGGTTCTTTATCACTTTCAGCCACTGTGAAAACTCCAAAGAGCCACTCTGAGCTCACCAGCATGAGGTGAGCAGATCAATCCCAGATATCAAGATCAACAGTTCAGCTTCATTTGTATTGAAATGTTTGTTTTGTCAAATTTGAGTTGTTTTTTTTTTCTATTATTTCTGTCTGTCACGTGAGTATGTTATTAAAAATATTTAATAAACTTTGTCTACATTCTGCTCTAAGTTTGAACAAAACACTTCAAAGATAAACTACAAAAACCCAGAAGATTGATGATAATCAAGCTGAAATATGGACGCCTGCTGGCCCTGGATTAAATATGCCGCATGTCACACCTATACTTTTTATTATTCAGTGCGACTTCTTGAAAACATCGTCACGGCCCCAATCAGTGGCCCTGCCAGCGCGGCACTGTGAGTGACCAGCAGCCTGCAGATAAACAGTTTGGCTGGCCGGTATGTCGGAGCTCCAACAGCCTGTTGAAATGTATTTTAAGCACTCTCTTGTCGATGCTGCTCTAATTTTAGCTTTAGGAAAAGCATCCAAAGGAAATTGGTTCTGGAATAAATTCAGATTTTATTTGTTTTTATCGAAGATCCCCGTCAGCTGCAGAAGAACCACGGCTTCTCCTATGAGGCCCAACAGAACTGTAACTACAGAACAGAAAAAACATCCTTGAACAAAACTTAATATATTTACACTTTGCCTTTACACAACTTATTGTGATTATTGTTTCTACATTCTGTAAACTGATCATGTGTCTATACATGCACACAAACACACAAACACATGATTAGATGCTTCATTCCATTCAGTTAAACTTCTATTTCAAACTATCATATTTTACACAAAAGGACATTAGCAACGTTAAATTAAGTGTAAAAAGAAGTCAGAAAGTTCTGTTTTTAACTGAACCTAAAAATATAGGTAATATGTAGGGGGTGTCCAAAGTGAGGCGCAGGGGCCATTTGCGGCCCTCAGTATGATTCTATGTGGGCTCTTGACTGCAGTTTAAGCACAGCCTAAATTTAGTTTGCCACTTCAGGCAGTTGATGCAGATGCACTTTTAAAAACAATGCTGCACTGAGTAAAAATGATATTTAAAAAGGTGAATGGATGGATAACATGAGCTCTACTAAAGCTTGTGTTTTGGGCTGGGTCTTGAGGAGTTGGTCGGGTTCTGCTCTCTGTTTGGGCTGGAAACTGTCAGTCAGATCTGGCAACCCTGAGCGCCTGGTCAAACCTCCTGACAGTTTCTCTGTAGTCGTTAGCCTGACTCTTTGCTCCAGGAACAGGCCAAGAAAAAACTCCAGTTTGGGAGTTAAATAACCTTCATTGTGTGTTTTCCTGGATGAAGCAGCCAGACTCCCACTTCCTGTCCTCCACAGAGACTCACTTCCTGTCCTCCACAGAGACCCACTTCCTGTCCTCCAGAGACCCATTTTCTGTCCTCCAGAGACACCCACTTCCTGTCCTCCACAGAGACCCACTTCCTGTCCTCCACAGAGACCCACTTCCTGTCCTCCACAGAGACCCACTTCCTGTCCTCCACAGAGACCCACTTCCTGTCCTCCACAGAGACCCACTTCCTGTCCTCCACAGAGACCCACTTCCTGTCCTCCAGAGACCCATTTCCTGTCCTCCACAGAGACCCACTTCCTGTCCTCCAGAGACCCACTTCCTGTCCTCCACAGAGACCCACTTCCTGTCCTCCAGAGACCCATTTCCTGTCCTCCACAGAGACCCACTTCCTGTCCTCCACAGAGACCCAATTCCTGTCCTCCCACTTCCTGTCCTCCAGAGAGACCCACTTCCTGTCCTCCACAGAGACCCATTCCTGTCCTCCCACTTCCTGTCCTCCACAGAGACCCAATTCCTGTCCTCCCACTTCCTGTCCTCCACAGAGACCCATTTCCTGTCCTCCACATGTCTGTGAGCAGAGCTAAAACTCTATAAATGTTCGTCTGATTCATGCAGGATGACTAAAACACCGGAACTGCACAATGACATGCCACAGTGACTCAGGATCAGATAGACGACCACTGACTGTGTAATCAATACTTCATCACACACACACACACGCACGCACACGCACGCACGCACACACACACACACACACACACACGCATGCAGGCAGGGACCAGAATCCACACAGCATGCAGCCCTCCTGCACCTCCCTTCTGCTCCCACAGCTTTAAGCGGGAAGACAATGCCATGGTTGCTCCCAGGAGGAGGGCGGGGCTCAGGGGGGTGTGGCGGTGGTTGTGGGGATGAAGGGTCACAGTGAGGTCAGCCAGTGGTGGTGTGTGTGTGAGACAACCTATCATCGGAAAGAAGCAGTTAAAAAAGGAGGGAAGTTGTGCAAACAAACTGGGATTAGGGTTTGATGTGGCTGAGAGGTTTCAGTTGCTTCAGTCGTTTTTTGGTTTTTTTGAAGAAACCTTTTCTCATCTTGATTTGAAAATTCCTCTTTATTTGCTAAATTAAGTTGCAACTTCTTTTTGCTACGTCTTCTTCTGTTTTTCTGCGCTTTCCTTCCAGTTTTCCCAAGACACAAAAAAATCAATCAATCAATCAATCAATCAATCAATCAATCAATCAATCAATCAGAATCAAACTGAAAAACCCACAAAAATTGGTTTAGTTATTCATAATGTCAAGTAGTCGGAAGTCTCACAATCAATCAGGTGTTTGGGAGAGAACAAAGCCCAGAGCATCATTAATCCTCCACCGTACTTAAAGGGGCAGTGTTGTGTGTTTTCCAGCCACATGGAATCACTTTATAGCAGAATAAAGTAACTATGTTACCTTCAGTTGTTGTAAAAATGATGTAAAAATTAAAACGTCGTGTAGCAAAAGCACTGATAGCTAAACATATTTAATAATCATCAGCAAGAACAAAGAATCCCTTATTCACAAGTAAAACTAATTAAAGAATGACTAAAAGATAGTCACTACACATGATGTCTAAGCAATAGATCTCAGAAATACTGAAAAACCTTTAGTATTGTTGTTGCTGCCAGATTACATATTTATTCACTAAAAACCTTTACTTTGTCCCAGTAGCTCCACTCTGCAGGGCTCACTGTGTTTAATCTTTAACTCTAAAGAATGTTTGAATCAAAGCAGTGGAAAGCTGACAGCTGATTTCAAGTATTTAAACAATCTGCTTGTTCAAATTAAATTGTTCAGAGAATTTTTTCACTTTCCAACAGACTCACAGTGATGCAGTATTTTTCTACAGCAGGAAAGATGGTTATTATTTCTAACAACTTCACAAAATCCAGAGTTTGTCATTTGAAAATGACAAACTGGGACTTTTGCGACACAAAGAGCAGAGAAGAAGCCGCTTCTGTCTGAGAAAAAAAACAAAAAAAAACTCTAGAGGAGAGACGAGTTCTGCAGGCAGTGAAAGTCAGCAAAGATATTTTGTCTGATAAGTCTTCACTCAAGTTATCAAGTTATTTGTCCAGAAAAGAGAAGTGGAGAGCAGCAGGGTCCATGTGTGGAGCTGCTGCTGATCCAAAAGCACAAACCAGAGAGACGGCGACAGAGAGCAAACAACCTGAGAACAATCTGATGGCTCAGCATGATGAGGCTTCATGTTACAAGACTAACACGACTACAATGAGCAAAAAATAAATAAAACACCAAAAGAGAGGCACTGAAGACTCTTAACATGATTTTAAAATATATAATTGTATCTAAGAAAAAAAAAAACTCCAAAAATTCTGAAACACAAAATGTTTTTTTGCTGTTCTGCAGCTTCCTTTTCTGATATGAGATAAAATAATAACAACAAAATAAATAAATAAAAAAACACACTTTAAGTACAAAAAAAGTGTAAAGTTGCTTGCAAACATTTTGAAGACAGCTGGCTGGAGAGCCTCCACTGTGCTGCTGCCGGGTTCCCACTCTGCTCAGGAACTCCCATTTCAACACATCAGAGGCACAAACACAAGGGGTGGATTAGCAATGCTAGCTAGCCACTAATGGTGTCATGGAGGACATGCTGCTGTGAAAAAGTGACTTAGTTGCCCGGACACTGAGCTGCTGGCATGTCAAGACAGACATGGATGACAGTCATCTGACTGAACAGTGTCTTCTCCTCAGGTGTGTTGCAGTACTGACTGCTACTGGACAGCCTTCCTGAACACAGCATGACCATCCACAAGAACTCTATGAATTTTGACATTTCCCTTTGGAATAAGTAAAGTTTTTCTGAATGAAATTGAAATAACTGTGTCCAGTTTCTAAATCAAAGTTGCTTACTGAGCTGGAAGTTAATTATAAACCAGTAAATCAATGACTAATTTATGCAACTCAGCAATAAATCTCAGTATTTCCAACCAAACCATTGGGGCCAAGAGAGTCAGTGTTACTGTCAGGACGCCCGAAAATACTCGCAAATGTTGAACATGTCTTTGACAAGACGGTTTTTAGAAGAATAGATACTGTAGGAATAATAAACCCATGTTTGTTATTAAAAAATAAAGTTGGAAATATCAGCTGTTTTTTTATTTTATTTTTATCTTTAGCCAAAGTTCTTAACAGTTATGGTGGAAGGTCCAAAGAGCCACTTGTGGCTCCGGAGCTGCGAATTGCAGACCCCTGATCTGGAAGCTTTCATTCTTATTTATTATTCACTATTTCAAATCCAAATCTAGTGGCTTCAGTCAGACTTTTTTCTCACACCAGCTGACCCCAGAACCGCGCTCTGAACCCACTGCTGGAGGAAAATCCCAGCCCCAGGTTTTAAGGTCCGTCTCTCTTTCTCTATGAAATTCAAAAATGTCTTTACCTCCAGCTGTGTGTGAACACCAGGCAGGCAGGGGGAACGCGGGGCTGGAAACCTTCTGAAGAAGCTTCTCAGAGATCCAGAAGGCCGGCGGCGGATCTGGGGAGGGCCAAATAAAAACGTCCTGCTGTCACACAGACACCACCACCGACTTACACCGGGTATGACTGAACGAGGGGGGCATGTAGCAATAGAACCAGAAATAGAGCAACACACACACACACTTAAAGCAGCAGCACACAACGGCTGGCAGGACACTATAAATATCAGCAGGCGCTGGGCGGGTGGAGGAAGGGGACACAACCCTGTTTGGACAACTGGCCGACATGGATCCTCAGGAAAACATGATTTAGGGAGACAAACTGCCTAGAAAAGTCACTTCTTACTGTCTGCATCAATTATTTAAACACTTTGATTCTAAGGTGAGGAGATCCCAAAAAAATATGACCAATAAATCACACAGAAAGTTCATATCAACCCCTCCGTCCCACCTGACCGGTTTTACAGACGGAACCGGTGAGTTCTGGTGAATGATGTGACCGAGGCCAACAGGTCACCTGAAGGAAGGGGAACGGTGGCCGCCAGGCGGATGGATCCCTGACAGGACACACCTGCACATGTGCAGACCTGCAACTCATCAGCTGTCTGCTGTGACTGACAGCTACAGGTGGGGGAAGGGGGAGGGCTGGAGGGGAGGAGCCTGCTGATTTCTGAGAGGAGGAGACAAAACAAGCAGACAGAAACACACTGATCACAGTTATTACAACAGGAGCCGGTGGAACCAGTTATCACTGGACTATTTTTTCTTTCTGCGGTTAATGTTTCCAGCATGTCTGCTGTCTCTTTGTAATTTCTTTTTTGTTCAAACAGATTTAAGAATGGAGAGAAGCTTCTTGGCTTTGCAGTTGACTATTGAGTTGTGTGTGATTTGTAGTCTCCCACAGACAGAGATCTTGTTGCTTAAGCACACCCTGTTGCTAGCACTGCAGCACAGCTAGCTGCAGCAAGAAGATAGAAGTGCAGCTGTTTAAGGGTGAACTCGCACCAGCCCTGTTGAGCCTGCTTTAATCCGCCTCTAATTGTTCGTTTTTGGAGGTGTGAATGTGTAATCAAAGTGAAGAACAGCGAACTCTGGTCTGCATAAAAGACCCAGTCTCGGTTTGGTTTAAGGGAATCCGGTGCGATTCAAATGCTTCTGCGAATGCCAAACGGACGGAGGCTGCTTTTTTTGGAACATGAAATGATAAAACAAGTTCAGGAAGTGGACAGCACAGGGCATTGTGGGTAAATATATTCAAAACAAATGTTAGAGCTAGAAATGGCTGTGGTCTTTTATCAAAGATCCCATAACCTGGAATAAAAAGTTATCTAAAGGGGAAATATTATGAAGCTTTACATTATATTCTAAAATGGTTCCCTCATCAGAAACATACCTGGAGTGTTGCTATAATTCTTTCATGCATGCTTGAGAAATCCATGAGTCTCCATGGGAACCATTCAGCTGTGCAAAATGCCTGGGTTTTAACTTGGAGGACGGCACTCCCCATGACTCCTCCATTCAGCTCCTTCAGACTAGCCAGCAGCAAACAGCAGACACCTGGTGGAACTGCACATCAGCTGAGCTCATAATAGGTGATACCTCTCAGAACAACACTGATAAAAACGTTAAAGGGTTAATAGAGGAGCCATGTTGTGATGTCATCCTAAAGATGTTTTTTTTTTTCTTTTAAAGAGACAGAGGCCCAACTTCAAGGCGTTAAATCAGAAAGTCAAAATTCTTTTAAGTCATATTTGACTATGAAACATTTTATAAACAACTGAAAGTAAGAGTTATTTCATTGTGCTACAAAATGGAATTATGTGCCTGGAAAACACAATACTGCCTCTTTAAATATGTTTGATGCATTTTTCATCAGTTGTCAAACAATCTTCAAAATTACAGAAATACACTTGGATAATATCATTCTGTGTGTTTTGATTGTATACACCAACTTATTTTTTTTTTTGTATGACAAATGTGTTCTCCTCTTGGAGAACAAATCTGTCTCAGACACTGCAAGGCAACCCGACCCACCATGCTGTTTGACCAGGCCTCCCTGAGAGGTCACCAATGTCTGAAATACACTTTAGTTGATGAGTAGACATGGGGATCATGAGGAAACGAGACCAAGACTTTTGAGTTAACAAGTCAAATGCAACATGACAAGAGGCAACACAGAAAAAGTCGTTTTTATTCTTGAACTGTTCTTACAAGCAGTCCAACAAGCAACTTTCTATCTCAAAAACAAAAAGAATCATTGAAATAAAATAAACTTTAGAATATTCACTGAATAATATCATCAGTCAGATAGCAGTATTATTTTTTTTTCTTCTTTTACCTTAATTTGAATAACCCAAAAGCAGTAGTATTTGTGTTTGTGGCGTGTGAAAACGAGAACAGTTTCAGACGGGTGTAAACTGGAGGGGTTTTCTACAGTAAGCCTCGGCCAAAAAGCTCCGACGTGTGAAGGAGAGACGCCGGCTCCCGGCTCCCCATGCACACAATAAATATGAAAAAAAAAAAAAAAAACTAAACAAAAGCACAGAGTCTGGTGTCTGAACAAAAATAATCATCTGGAACTCGCAGGTACAATATCTCTAATAAGTCTTTTTATGTGCAAGATTCAAGCTGAAGTCATCACCACAAACAATTATACTCACATCAATTTCCCCGACCTCCCCTCGACAAGTTCATTTTGTTTTCTACATTAAATCTTTTAAATAAACCTAGAGCGTTTTGTCATTTCATATACACATATATTTATATATACTATATATTTTTTTTTCCTATATGCTGTCCTTTTTTAAAATCGTGTTGAGTGTGTGTCCGAGGGAGGGAAATCTGTGTGTGACTTAGAAAGAAAGTAAAACGTACACCAGGCGGCGATACGAGGCGTGAATGAGGCTCACGTATCTCCCAGAACTCACGACTTACGCACAGTGTGGAGTATAGAGAGGGGAAAAAAAAAAAAAAAACTTTCAGGAACAAGTACGCGGAACCGGGTGGTGTGTGTTTTCAGAATCCCCCGCGGCGACCCGAACACACTGACACACAGACACACAAACACCAGTGGAGAAACGTTTGGTCACAGTTTTGTACCCTTCTAACAAAATCGTCTCCTTAAAAAGTTCGTGAGAGTGGATTTTCAATCGTTTTGGCTGCTGACGCGTCCGTGACGAGAAGCAAACGTCCAACTTCCGCTTAGTTCCACTCGTTCATTTCAATATCAACAAAAAAATTTTCAACATAAAAAGTTATTTGGCACATTTAACAACAACTGGTAAGTAACACATTGGGCTAAAAAGGTGCAACAACATAACTTTCAATAAAAACAATAAAAACCATTTTGGTTTATAAAAATAAAAGACACCTTAAGAGGTGGCAAAAATCTCTACAACACGATAAGATTTCCCCCTGACGAAAAAACAGGCTATCAAAAAAAAAAAAAAAAAGCAATTTACCCAAATCAACCCTTTTTTCTACTGAAGCTTTTTGCATTACAGTTCTGCAACAAGGACCTTGTACTGCATAAAAAATAAAAACCCTGAAATTACAATAGATTTCTCCTTCCGCTACGCATCCTGTAACACTGCGACAACCCGTCCCGTAAACGCCCCGGTGCTCCACATGGTTCAGCCCCGACCGGACCGGGTCATGAAAAACACAAAACACTAATGAACGGGAGCTGGACAGACAGCTGATGAGTTCGGCTTTCTGATTTAAACGTGACGTGATTTAAAGCTGACTGGATGAGCTGAGTTAGCTTCGTCTCTCACCTTTTGCTCCAGATATGGCAACAATAAAGTCAAACTGAAGGAGCTTTTATAAACGGCGTGCAGCATTTCAGAAAGAAAAGATTCCCTGTGCTTCATATATAGTTAGGACATGCAGCTGATGCATATTGAAAAAGAACAAAATTAGGTGAACATTTTCAAACATTGAATGTTTTTAAATGGAATACAGAGGATGAAAATTACAGACAGAAATGTGAAAAGTCTAACTTTGACTTCGTCCCAGTTGGACTAGAGAAAAGGCTCTACTTCAGTCAGTTGGTTTGCACAAACAAACTGAACAAGTCAACAAAGCAGCATAACGTTTGTTACTGACCAGGTGTGTAACAACTTCTACACCGAAGAGTGTTATCACTCAAGTGGATTAGCAGAATGAATGTGGTGCTTTCAATTACTGGGAATAAAAAAGAATAAATACAAATTCAGACTTTTGGCCACGAGATTTGGTCAAAACAGAATATTTCTCATTTAAGCAAAACATGAGACTCTGCTGTGTTAGAGACTCTTATTTTGTAGTGAGAAAGGAAGTAGTACTTGAGTGACCGTGTGTTGAAATAGAGTTGGCTAAGAAAGACTTCTTTTTGGCTCGCTGTCAGAACTAAATAGGCTGGCAGCACTTTTAAATGGCTTATGTGGAAGCCTTTTGGAAACCCAATAGAAAACTGCACTTGCAAAACCGCTAGATGCTAATGATGCTGATGTGAGTAAAGTTAGAAGCTGAAGATGCTAAAATTAGCAATATTAGTCACAAGCATCATTGACTGATAAAATTGGAAAAGTTAGCATCATTAACCACAAGCAACATTGCAGGCTAACATTGGTAAAGTTAAAATTATTGGCCACAAGCAGCATTAGTAGCTAATCCTGTTAAAAGTTAGCATTATTACTGCTGAGCCACATTAGCTTCTTGTGGTGTCAAGATAGCATCAGACACCACAAGAAATATCAATGGGGAATGTTGTTAAAGTTAGCATAATCAGTTGCAAGCATCATCAGTGGCTAACGTTGGTAAATTTAGCATTACTAGCACCGTTAGATGTTAATGCTTTTTATAGATGTCTATTTCAGTTTTTCAAGATAGCCTGGACTGTGTGGGATTTCTTTGTTTTTGTCCAACACTTTGGCTGAACCTAAACCTGATTTTCACTTCTATAGCAGTTCTCATTAAACTAGAGCAGTTTTGTCAAAGCTGCACTGATATTTTCTAAACCAATTACAAATTTCTTAAAACCGAAAGTGTTATACCACTGTGCAAAACAAAACAAAACAGGAAAATTGTAGCTTTACCAAAAACATTGCTAAAAATCTTGAACCCAATGTTATGACTATATTTGAGAGCTGGATATGTTGATATTGGCGGACTGTGTAGCAGGTTGGGATTGGTCCTCCAGGCGCCTTCGGAGATCAAAGAGCAAAAGCCAGAAAAATAAGAGAAAACCAAATGTTGATTGTAAAACTTTCGCTCAGCTTCAGCTCCTCCTCGTCCGACTTGTGCTCACTCTGACGACAAACACCGGCTGAACCTGCAAAGCCACGAGAATGTGTGCGTCTGTGTGATGGCATCATCTGGAAACAGCCCAGCAGAGGTAACGCAGCAGCGACACCTGCTCTTCCACACACACCTTACGCCCTCACACACTCTGCAGAATGAGAGAGAACATCCCCGTCCTCCTGTGTCGGGGTGAAGCCTTGCGAGGCTTTTGGACAGGCAGATAGAGGTCCTCCGACAATGCAAACACACTGGACCAAAACATGGGATGCACAGAGAAAGGGTTGTTTATATACACTGAACATGCCCCGCCCCTCCTGCGAGCCCAACACACAGCATCATCCACGGCTACCCATCCTCCGGTACATTGGTCTTCACAGTTCCCATGGCAACCCGTTGCTGTTTGACAGCCAATGGAATCTCGGTCGCCAAGGAAACTGGCTGGAAACAGGAGCCAATCTGAAAAGAGTCTGTTGGTCCTCTTCTTTTTCAGGACTGGAATGATAAATCGGCCGCCAACAAACACCCTGAGAGGGTCCAGAGGGACGGGGGGCTCCCGCCGGCCGCTCAGGTGACTCAAGTAAAATATCCATGTTGGCACTTTGCACACTTCAGTAACTGAGAGGAGGGGTTGGTAATAAGAGGGACAGGATACAGTCGAGCAGCAGATTTGTTTTTACATTCCCCACAGTAGCCCCGCCCCTTCGACATGGCCTGGGAAAGAGGAATTCTCTCTGATTGGACCTCCTGCTGTATCTGATGCTTAAAACTCCATTTCGTTTTGCAGTCGTTTTTCAGATTCTTCCAGGAGATCCGGTTCAAATGAGGAGAGGTGACCCTGAGGGTTCAGGGGGATGAAGGAGAGCCGGGGAAGGTGGAGGACAGTCTGATAAATCCTCGTCACCTCCATGCAGAGGGTTCTGCTCTCCTTCAGTCTGCCCAGCCTCTCCTCTCCATGACTGGCAGAGTCCCGTGGATGAAACGGAAAAGAAACCGGTGAACCTCCTGTGATGGTGCATGTGTGCGTGTGTGTGTGTGTGTGTGTGGGTAAGGGGCCGGCAGGTCCGCACACACTGCGAGGCGTCGCCATGAAGTTGGGGCCGATGTCTTGCAGAAATGATGTGGTGCGCAGAGTGTATGTGTCTGCGTGTGTTTGCGTGAGTGTGTGTGTGTGTGTGTGTGTGTGTGTGTATAGATATTGAAAGGTATGTGCTCCTTTTATTCACAGGCCGTTGCTGTTGCGGTGTGTGAGCGGCGGTTTGGAGAGCTCCACCACGGCAGCTCGGCCTTTCCCGATCACCTTGGGCGCGCGGCGCAGCAGCTTCTGGGCCTCTGTGAACGCCTCGTTCAGCTCCTTCTTCCACTGCACAAACTCTGGGTCGCTCTGAGGGAAAAGCAACGGGACGGGTCAGCAGGGGTCAAAGAGTTGGAACGGACGGAATGAGGAAGCCACCCACCTCACACTGCAGGACAAACTGCTTCCCTCCCTTGATGCGCAGCAGGATGCACTTCTTGTCTTTAACCTGCGTCTCTTCCACCGACACGATCTGCTCCATGGTCAGCAGGTTTTGCTGTGAACAAAAGTCGATGAGTAACACATGAATTAACACGAAGCGTCAGAAATTTTGAGGCCTTTGCCGAATGGTTCCAGAATGCCCAGCCTCAAACCAGTTCCTTTCATTCTGTTGGAACTGCCATCCATAGTACTAATGAAACATTCAGATTTTAAATAGGTGCGCACTGACTACTGTGTTCTGGCCGATCACCGATTATGTCAATGTCAGATTAAGCACAATGAAGCTGATTAAATGTTTCAGCCCTAATCAGAAGTGGTATTGAGGATTTTTCTTAGGACTCGTCTAGGGACACCACAGGTTGTGTAAATGGACAAGTGAGCTCCTGGGCAGAGCTAAGGGAAGGCTGCTCTTCATCTAACTGCAGCAGGAGGAAGAGGAGGGAACACATGTACTGCCAGGTGGAGAGCAGGGAGGTGAAGCAGACAGCAGAGACACTCACCCTGTCTTTTAGCATTTTTAAAGTCTTTAGCCACTTTTCCTTCAGAGGTGAGACGGGACAAATGAGCAAAGAGACAAACGAGATTCTCACACACACACAAACACACACACACACATATAGAGAGACGGAACAGAAAGACAGTGGGAACGTGAAGCGCGATGTTCCTGCACACTCACCCGCGACTCGCCCTCTCCCCTCCACTCCACCCGGTTGGGGAACAGGTAGAAGTAGCGGCGCTGCCACTGGGTGAGGAACGGGTTGCCCAGCTTCAGCATGTAGCCGTGCATTATGCAGTCTTTCCCAAAAGCATAGTCTGCGCACACACACACATACACACACATGGTTAGAAGGTGACACAAAGTGTTCTGGATAAGCCTGTCACAATAAACAACAGATCAATTTATTCTATTATGAATTAAAATGGGTTCAATAATTTCCACTTGCATGACTGGTCCTCTTTTATCTTCCTAAAACTGGATGATAAACGTTTTCAGTCTGATGCTCTGGCCTCAACTGGCCCCTTTGTTTACAGAGACTTCATAATTCATTTTATTTGTTCATTTGTTTTGGATCGATAAAATGTCTTCCAGTTTTAGTGTCAAACATCTGGTAGAAAATAAAGTTTATTGATTTTTGAGAAGATGTATTTGCATTATTTTATCATTATGTTATATGAAAATGGTTTGAAACAGCAACATCATCCTTTATCGCAATCATTTCTGGGACAATTTATTGTCATGCCTGTTTCCAGGGCTGGCGGTCTTACCCTCCTCGTGGCCCAGCTGCTTGTTCTTGGCCCTCTTCCGAGCCTCTATCTTGTCCGTGTCCAGGTTGACGGCCTCGTACACCGTCTCAGCCACCTCCTGCTGCCAGCGCTCCGATATGACCAGAGGGAAGTTCTTGTACAGCTCCTGGTCGCTGTCCAGCAGCTGCAGTGAGACAGACAGAAGACAGAGCAGCGATGTCACCATGACAACAGGACAAAAAGACAAAGAGCAGAAACTCTGTCATGAGCCAAGCACTTCATCAACCTCTGAATCCAGCTGCTTTCTTATAGCACCTAGCTTGGTCTTTAACAGTTATCTGTTTAATGCTATAGGTTTGCTTGGTTAGCAGGGACAAAAACCTAATTTACTTCCTGCAGATTTAGCATTAAAGGTCATCACCAGTGTGATGACCTTTCATCATGATGGCACTCGACAATATGCAATGTCTGTTAATGGTTTCTCAATTGATGAGTGTATGTTGGCTGCCCACCCAGGGCGCCCTTGTATCTGGGGACAACATTTGAAAAAACATTCCCATCAGCCATGCTCAGATTGTCTTTACCGTTTCTTGTTTGCATGTAAAGCCGATAGCGAATGTAAAATATTTGCACATTTATTAATTGATAATATTAATAATAAATATTTCTTACTACTACCAATTATATAAAGTGGTGTATACACTAACTATTCTACAGAAGGATCCTATCAACACTTTAGTCACATAACGTTAAACTTGTCATTTTCAGATTTCCACCAAAATTCTTTCTCAAAGCCACAGAACAGATTATTTCTGGTAAGTTGCAAGATTAGCAACTCGCTAATGAATAAACTCTTTACTACGCCAGTCAGTTGAGACTGCTGCATGTAGCAATGGCTTTTTTTTTTGTTTTCCCAACCTATCTGCTTCAGGTGAAGGTAGGAGGATGAGATTCTGAAATGTTAAAAGCTATGTCCGACGATGGGACACTCCAAATCCCATCAGCAGCTGCAGTGGAAGACAAGAGGATTAGAAAGGAACCATGCGGATGCTCCAGCAGTTGTTTTACCTTGATGCCCTTGGTGTCCTCCTCATCAAACGAGCCGATGTCAAAAGCATCCGCGGCGTTCACCTCTCCCCTGGGCGGGATTAAAGGAGGGGGGTACTGCAAGACGGAGAACAGAGGGACGACTGTCATCCAAAACAATCACACAACGCTAAGAAAGACACACAGAGCAAGAACAACAACAAGGCCACAACTCTGTAGTGCTGTGGTAACCATAAAACCATCCACCTGACCAGATCTGAGCTACAAACAGAACATAAGAGATGAGATAATTTAATGTGACTCCCTGAAAACCGAATGGACCCGATGCAGATGGACATGTTCCATCATTTTGGAAGGTTATCAGTGATTAGTAAAGCAGAAGCAGCATTCAGTTCTTATGATCGTCCAATCTGGAGCAACCTTCAAGAAAACTAAAAAACTGCCGGAACACTGCGTTTCTCTAAATAAAACCTAAACCCCACCAGTTTACAGCTACCTTGGATTCAGAATAACTGGAGCATTGATCAGTATATTTGATGTGAATTTGCTTGCTGACGTTTGACAAAATGTTATATTAGTTGCTTATTTCATAATTGTTTACTGTATAGTGTCCAATGGTGTAAAGTCTTTTGAACTGCTTTGTTGCTATACAAATAAACTTGGCTTAATTTATATGTTCTAAAATACAGTGTTAGGTACTAAATATATTTTTTTTTATCAAAATGAAAGCAAAAACAAACAATAAAACCTTGAAAATTATAATGGGTAAGGTCACCAAATCCAGCAACTTTTGTCTCAAACTTGGCTAAATATACCAAGGTTTAAAAATATATATATATATGTATATATCTGTTGCTAAGTTGTTGTTTTTTTATCATTATTTTTAGGAAAAAGTGCTTTCAAATTTGCAAGTTTGGCCCACAGAGTATAAAGTTGGACACCTCTGGCCTAGATACACATTATGTCTGGACAAAATACCCAGAATCATAAAGAGCATATATATTTAGTGAGAATGAACCTCAGTCTCATCAGAAACATGACGGAGCTCACTCACCTTCTGCAGGTACACCTGCTGCCAGTCGATACCTTTGAAAAACTGATGCTCCTTCACCTCTAGCGCTCTGGATGGGAGACACAAGACGCCTCATTTGAGCACAAGGTGGCAGTGTTGCCCACATTGCTGAGCTGTGACAGCTTCATCCAGTCTGTAAAAGGCCCTGATGTAAAATGACAGCACTGACTTCACCCATCAGATCACTCAGTGCACCACGACTCATCTAGTCCTCTCAGCGTTTCTCAAAAGTGAGCACACCCCTCACTCTTTGGTTCATATTTTATCACATCTTTGATTTGTCTTTGGTAAGATGCATCAAAGATAAATTACTTTGATACAACATAAACACAGCCATTAATGACTGAAATCTACTGACAAAAGATGCAACACAAAATGATCGTCTTTGGCAAGCTTTCTGATTTTCTTCTATTGCTATGGTAACTACATCTACTCACTGATGCAGCCAAATCTGCTGTTAATTGATGTATTGAAAGTTGTCTGGATATAGTGAATACAGACAGACCTAGATAATGTTTTTATTGCTGAAAACAGAAAATATTTCTCAGTCTGTTTTAACAGTCATTGAATGGCTTTAATTTAACAAAGAAAATATTTGAAGTTGTGGCTCACAATCTGATTCCTACAAAAAAAAAAGGAAGTGAATATTTGTTTACCTAACATGGTTTATGTTTAGGTGATTGTTGAATGGGGAAAAAATATATATCTTTTTGTTGATTTTAGATTTCAACATGATATTTTCTGGCCCGTCAGTATTTTTGAGCTGAAGATTTTTGGCCCGTGCGACGTTAAGGTTTTGACACCCTGGATCTATCTAGATATCGCCGTCGATGTGAACAGACATTTCATGTGGGTGTTTGTCGTACCCCCGGCCCTGGCAACCGAGCCGCTTGGACACGTCTCTTTGCAGCAACCCCTCCAGCAGATCCTTGAGCTCCGGGGTGAACGAATCTGGCAGCTCCACATTCTGCAGGGAACAGACAGGAGGCAGAAAGGAACGTCACAGTCAGACATCGTTTTTAAGATAAACACGCATCATTTGCACTTATTACCATTTTTTGAGGAAAAAAAAACATCAAGCCATCTGCTCTCAAGGAGACCTCAGTGTTCTTGAATAAAACTTTGCTACCTATGAACACTGTCTTACATTAAATCAGGCTAAACTTCTCCTGTTGTAGGTCAACTGGGGAACTTTATTTCTAACATCTAACTGGCACTCTAGTTAGATGTTAGATGTTTTTTCTTAAAAAAAAAATGTGTATAAATCTCCTCAGTACATTTTAAACTGCCTGTTAAGATGAGGCAAATGTCCCAGGTTTCTTCCACCAGGTCCTCAGGATAGGTTGCTATGATTCTGGTCCATTCCTCCCGGTTTCAAAGCCTCCTTGTGCTCTCAAATTTTTGTCACTGGGATTGAGGTCAGGGCTTTCAGATGGACACTCTAAAATATTAACTTTGCTGTCATTAATCCGTCTTGTTACTTATTTGGCAGAACTTTTAGAGTTACCATTTTAAGTCCTATATGTGCTTTAGGCCTTCTAAGACACATCTGTATAAAAATGTATATCTCCTCCACATTGTATAAAAATGATAGTAAACACAGAATCGGTTTAAGAAAAGGTTGCGTCCACATGAACCCGTCAAATCCGCCCTTAAATGTTTTAAACATGCCAAACCTCCTTGGATAATGATGGCTGAATATTTCCAACTTATTCACTCTAGCTTGCAATTGAACAAATGACTGTGCTACCATCAGGCATCTGGAGATTGTGAACCTGATCCAGACTTGTGGAGGTTCTCACATCGCTCTGATTTCAGTTCATTTTTCCATGATGTCACTCATGGAAGGTGTTGCTTTCAAAAGACTAAACAAAATTATATCATCTCCTGGTATTGGCTGAACTGCTTCAGACGCAAACCAAAGTGTATAGACTTTGAAGAAACTGTGCTACCATCGTCAAAGAATATCATTGTTAGCTTTAGTAATCTTACTTGGATTAAAAAGAGGAAATGTTCTTATTTAATCTCACAGAGACAAAAAGGATATGCCTGTATGTAAATATCTGGTTTCAACTCAAACAGCTGCGCTTGTGTTTCTTTCTCTGATTTTTGTCAACATCTTTCTTCATCCCACTTGGGGAGTCAGACAGGTGTTAGAGCAGAGTTAATCCTTCAGGCAGCATTACTGTGGATTATAGAGTTGCAACAGTGGATTTCCAAAATCAAACGATAAATGGGATTACTGCAGAGTTCAAGCTGCATCTTCGTTCTAAGCGGGAGATTTGTTTGGACAGCCGCTATAACGGTATCCAGTTTCCATTTTAAAGAACTCAAACGGGCCACTGAGTTGAGGTCGATCGACTGAGTTGTTCTTTGCAGATGACGTCTTCACAAACCAAAAACTCCCATTTATGCTGACCACATCTCTGTGTTGATACTCGTAGGTTCTATGAATTATAAACGTGGATATATTTTTATTTGTCCTCTTTTTACTCTTTGAAATAAATGCTTCTTCTACAGAAAGTGATTCAAATACAAACCAGTCTGTCTAATCTGATTGACTTTAGTGTGTGACAGAGAAAACAATATTGACAAATTTGTTGGTACTCTAAAGAAACTGTTAGTACTGCAGTTACATTCATGTTTCAAATAGAGCTGAACCGATAAATCAGCCCTGAATCCCTTAAACTTGGGCTGAAGTCTTCTTATTTCAAAGTTTGCTGTGAAATAAGAAGACTGACTGATTGTACAGCCATTACAGAGTTAACAAACTTCCACTAGGTACATTTGTATTACTGTGTACACCACTGTGAGACCGGACCGGAGAAAGCAATGACTACTTGTTTTTGAGGAGCTCAGAGAGACGATTCTACATATCCATGGTAAAGGAAAGGGCAACAAAATCAACTTCAAGCAGCTTCATGTTTCTGTGGTCAAAGCTGCCAACAGGAGAATCAGGAGAAAGCAGCCAAACTCTCAGGGTTATAGAGGAAAATGCAACCCTACATTGATAAAGTGGACAGTGTGGATGGTTGAGGAAGACCCAAGAAAACTATCCAAAAACTAACCAGGTTTCTCTTGGTTAAGAGGAGTCTTAATACATTCCTCTCCTATGAGAAAAACGAAATAAATTCAGACCGGAATTCATCTGAATGTGTGCTGATGGGCTCCCAGGTCTCCCCAATGGTCATCAGGTCCCATCAGGTCTGTGAAATGATGTTTTTAGCAGTACACCAGACCAACAGTGAGACACAGAAATCAGGTTGGGTTGGTGTGGAGGATGCTTTGCTGTATCTGGTGAGGGGAACCTTTGATCTGAGCAGGGTCTAATTAAATCTCATCCAAGAGCCAAAACTATGTCCAGCGTCAGAAAGCTCAGTGTCAGTCATAGATTATGACCCAAAACCCACACACAGCTTAGAGCAGCCGGGAAGGGCTGAGAATGAATCATTACAGAACAGTCTGTTCTCTGTGATCTGCCCGGATCTGAATACTACTAATCATCTACGGCAACGATGTTCCAGTCCTCACAGACATCTGCATCCCTTGCACCTAAATAAATGGGGTGAATAATCAGCATAAAGTCCTGATATTGGCCTAATTATTTGGTTCAGGTGTGTCAAAGCAGAGCTGTGTAAATGTTACAAGACAGGAAGCCGGAGGGCCCTAAACTGTGGGAAAACCTAAAAACCCCTGGGAGATACCCAGAAACCTGAGACAACCTGAGCATTTCTCCTGAAGAGTAAAACGACCAAATGTAGACGCCTCACCGTGAAGTACTGAGATCCCAGAGAAGGTGATGCCACTAAACATCTGAAGGATCTAATTCTTTTCATTTGTTTAATTATAGTATTTTTGGACTACAAGTCACTGGGGTTCTTTAGTAGTTTAGCTGGTCGTGAGATTTGTAGTCCAAAGTGAACATAAAAACTCTGGACTTTTTTTTTTTTTACCTCTTCATGACCTAATTTGTGCTAATCCATACTGACAAATATGAACCAAGGATCAAACTTTTTGAATATTAGGTGGCCGGAGTTGGAGGAACGACTCGATAGTTAGATGATTGAATAACGTGCTGTGGTACAGTTACGTCTCCATGTCCCGGTAAAGGCCGGGGAGGTGGGCGTTGTTGGTACATCCCCCTCTCTGTCGGACTGGATTCACTGCAGGTCTCTCCGCTCCACTGCACACATACTCTGGAGTGACAGAGTTCTGCAAATATGCTACATAAAATAATTTACTAAATCAATTAAAAGTGTGGTTCTGATTTGTGTTGCAAATCAAATAAACAATAATTGTTTGCATGACCATTCCTACTGACCACTAAAAGCCTTTTAGTAGTCACCAATAAGGTCACACACCAATAAGTTTGTAGGCAACTTGGGGGCACATCGACATACAATGCAAGTAGAAGAGAGCTACTCTTTGAGCCAATCGACCCTGTACAAACATCTGTTTATGTCAACGAAGCTACAAAAATCAGAATACATGTTGTAGTCCCACAGACAAAAAGTGTCACTTATTTTCTTTCTGCACTGCTCTGAGCTGCAACCTGGTTGTGAGAAGTCAGATTGTCTCCTCCATTCAACACTTCATCTGCAGCAACATGTTGGTCTGCTGCTGACAGCAGAGAAAGCTCTGCTGTTTCATGGAGATGTTTGAGAGAGCAGAGGTGCCAGTAACCGTCCATCCATCTCTGCTTCCTGAGTTCATGCAACCAGCTCAATCATCATGCTGAATAAACACAAACATGCATTGGTTGGACTTTTAGAGCTGGACTGCAGTCTTTCACAGAGCTACTGCCGGTCATCTCTGTCACACACCCAGACTAGGATTAGAGGATAAACCAGATTAAGTGGCTGGATTCCAAACCTAATCTGGATTTATTGTGATATGAAAGATTAGACTTTCTCTGTTTGGAGGCCTTGCTCTGCTAGAGAGAAGGGAGAGAGTGCAGCTCCTTCTTCTCATTCCTTACAAGTAACACAAATGGACTTCGACACTTGGATGAGTTGCATTTTGGATGCGCAGCAGCTGGAGCAGGCAGAGCTGCCGCGATGCTTCAACTCTTCAGAGTTTGGTGTGAATGGAGAGGAGGAGGCAGGCCAGGATAGGTGGGCGAGAGCACATATGTCACAGTGTGGGCTCAATGGATGTCATTCATCCTGAGCGTGACCCGTGACATCAAAAAGGCCCGGCAGCATATTCCTCCCAGAGGCTACACACACACACACACACGCATATTGTTCTTTAAATCATGGACGGTTGAAGATTTCTGTCAGTGAATCTGGCCAGTGATCGTACATTAGCTGTGTTTTCATTACAAATGTGCACAAAACTTGGTCCGTCTTCCATTCATGTCAAAAAACACAATTACGCAATTTCTGTTTCCAATTAAATCTAAATTAAACTGAGATGTGAATAAGCTCACACATTAAGTCATAAAAAAAGAGCTGCACTATGATCCATCTTACCAGTTCCTGTCTTTATGTTTTCCGCCAGTAGTAACATCTGGTTGATATATGACTTGTGAAGTGACAAAATGTTTCCATTGCAGTTTAGCACAACACACTAATTTCAATACAGCTGAAAAAACGCCTCATTCTAGAGAAAAACCTTTTTTGAAATAGGTGTTTCCATAAAGCAAATTTATTTTTGAAACCCATATTTACATAATTCTATGGTTAATAGAAAAGCAAAAGAAAAATTTTCTGTGACAGTCAGGCTGCAGGTAACGATTATTTTCGTAATCAATTTTTTTAACTGAATTGACAATTTATCAATTAATCAGATAAAAAAAAACTGCCACATTCTGCAAATTAACCTCTTTTCATATATTGATATATTAAAAATAACTTAAAATCCAAACAATTCTCTTTTTTAAACAGCAGTGTCAAAAGAATGCAATAACAGCATTCGTTTAGAGAGCGCGTGATCATTTGTAGCAAAACATGCATCTGCAGATAAAAAATACTTCCATTATCAACACATGAAAAGCTCAGCCCTTTCCGCTCGGCCTTTCTAATAGGGCTGATATGACGATACTTTTTTATTAATAATTTGATAGCAAAAGGCGCTTACTGTAAAATTTCTTTTTACTGAGTTTGAAACAGATAAAGCTTAAACTGCCACTTGAAGAGTTTTGAGTAGAACATATTTACAGAAAAAGCAGCGTTCAGTTCAAATGCTCCACTAAACTGGAACAAACTTCCAGAAAACTGCAGAAGAGCCGAACACAGACTTCCTTTAAATCATGTCTAAAAATAAACCTGTTTGGAGTTGCCTTTAATTCATAGAAACTGGAACATGGATCAACATATTTGATGTGAATTTGCTTGATTATTTTGATGACAAAACAGAAAAAAAAAAACATTTTAGATTCCCCCTTTGAGTAAGATTAATCTAGAAGTAATGACACATTTGAGTAATTGTCCAATACAACAGCGCTCATACGAGGATACAAACGGATCATGGAGAGCAGCTAATACTCAGCCCTATCCGCCTCAATAGTCAAGGGGCAGGAAATGATGTCATACTGGAAGTGAACGAGTTCCAGCTGCGAGTGAGGCTGGGACTGGAATCCAGTTTGTTAAAAGACGACAAACTCTCAGCAGACTTCCTCTTTCTTCCACGGATGCTGCTCAGGTCAGGACGGGTCGCTGGACTTACTGTCCTTCAGATGTCACAAAAACTCCCAGAGCATCTCTGAATGTAGCATCGGTCTGTAGCATGGGAAGGATCTGAACGTCACTCTTATGTTTGCTGTGAGTCTGTTATGTGTTTACAACTGTTCACACAGCACCACACTGGAAGCCATTTTAACATCAAACAACAGCATATATAAGGGAACCAATCATTTCAATGCATTTCTTTGTGTCGAATTGAAAAACGTGTAAATTTTACCAATTTAATTTTTCAATGTAATGTATAAAGTATAAAACCCTTATGTTTTATCACATTTTAACACGTAAAAGCAAAAATAACATTTCCAATCATATTGCCAGTTTTGTTTTTAATTTACAATGATGGTGAATCACAATTCTTATGACTATTTTTTCACAATAAATGGCCACCTCCATGTCTGTGGCTGGAACATGAGAGGCAGAATGCTAAGATTTGCTGAAAAAGGGAACTTCGCCACATTTTTGGTAGAACCTTCATCTAGAGAAATGAGACACTTCAAAGCCATTAAGCCACTGTTTTCTCCCTGCACTGTCACTGTACCAATCATATTTGCACACTTCAGCTGCCATGGAGGCAGACGCAATGTGTCATCCTTTCATGAGGACGACGGAAACATTTCTATCTGAAGGACAAACATGGCTCCCATGGAGTTTCCTCACATCGGTTGTTCACAAGCGTCCAACAAAAAAAAAAACAACATGCATGCATTTAGAATTGAGCACAGACTCGTGTCATCTTCGGTGTTTATAGCGTGTTTACACAGAGGAGGTCTGCTGTGTAATGAGGGGATATCTGCAGCTTACCATGGTCAGCGTCATGCGGTCTATCTCATGTTTGTCTTTGGTCTTGTGCTGTCTGAAGGGGCTGTGCCTGAAGACGACAGAGAGGAGAGCCTGATGTCACCAGCTGGAGACGAGTGAACACGGGAAGGAGGAACGGAAGCGACTGGGAAAGGGTGAAGATGGTTCAGGGTGGACAAAACAGCTGCACACACACATACACACACCCACACAAAAAATAAAGCACCACAGACTCGGCTTCTTTTCAAACCATGTCACTCTCCAGCCCCCTTAGTTAAACTTTAAAACTGTGTTCAGAAAACTTCCAGCCCAATAATTCAGAAATGGTAATTTGAAGTGACCCAGATTTGACTGAGTCTAATTAGGATGCGGAGGAGGAGACGGTTCACATCCTGCAAGAAAACTTCACCATCACTCTCTCGCAGCTCTCTTTTGTTGCACTTCTTTTGTTTTGCTGACTAATCAGAAGCATAATAATTATTGTAATCAACTTTAATGGCTTAGAAACTTATTTTACAAAAAAAGGTACATTCACTGGATTTTTGCACTGACAGAATGACCAACTTATTTGATTGCTTATATGAAGCTGTGAAAGTTCTGAAATCACAGTAAATGTAAGCAATAGAAGAGCCACAGTTGTGCTTAAAATGGTTTTCTTCTTGTGTTGCCAATGGTTACCTCTAAATAAAAGAGTGGCATAATCATTGCTTAGGAGAAAGAGGGCTTCACGTTGGAGGAGACTGCTGCTAATAATGTTAGGCAACAAAGAGCCATTTTCCTGATTAATGAGAACTTCAAGGTGTAGTAAAGAATGGTATGTTCTATTTTTAGTCAGAAATCCCGACTTCCTAGACAAAAAATAAAAATCAACTGGAACGTCCCCTGAAGTCGGTCTTCCCCCTGGGAAAGTAAATTACAGTAAATTCATGATTTAGCTCTGGGGATAATACTCATTTTTTTCATGGTTTGGTGATCTATGACCGATATTAAAATGTGTTTGATAATAGTAAGCGGTGCCAAAAAGCAAAAAGAGCGTAAAATTGAGTAGATACTTTTCCTTACTGCAAACTCCAAAGTATTAAGTAATGGCTGTAACCTTTACATTCATATTCTGATAAAGACTCCTGTACCTAAAAACTGTTTATAGTTTCCCCTCATACTGGAGACAGTCAGCTTCTCTCTCTGTCACACACAAACTCTTCTTCTTTAAGGACGTGGATCCAAACATCAATAGAAAGACACCTCTCTCTCTCACACACACACACACACACACACACACACACACACACACACACACACACACACACACACACACACACACACACACACACACACACACACACACACACACACACACACACACACACACACACCCTTTACCTGGATTTTGGCCTGCTGGGACCAGACCTCTGGCATTTACACACTCTAGATCAAACACACGCACACACCCGCTCTCATACACAAACAAGATCAAACACACACCAAACAGAAGGCGGGCGGGTGAGAGGAACTCGGAGAAGGGGAAGTGAGCTGATTCAAAGAGGCTCGCATACAGAGCCAGAAGAGGTTTCAAAGCGGACAGGACGTCAGGATGCGGAGGGAGTGTAGAGCACGGAAGAGGAGCAAGAGGAGAGCAGCGAGGAAAGCTGGAGCTTTTTACCCTCTGAGGAGTTTGAAGAGCATGCAGCCTAAAGAAAACCAGTCTGCGCTGCTGTCGTACGCCGTTCCCTTCTGAAGGACCTCTGGAGCCATGTAGCCATGAGTCCCACTGTGACACACACACACACACACACACACAGCAAGTCGGAGTTACACATTGGTGATTTACAGAGCAAGACGGCCAAACAGGAGAGTGGAAAAACGTGACCAGATGTAAAACATTTCGAACAAATTGGTTTGAAAGAAAATTATTTAAACTCATTAACTGCTTCTACAAGAACAGAAACAGCAATGGCAGTCAGATATCTGCTATAGAAGCAAGTTCAACTGATGCTATACAGAAATCAGCAGCTTGTTTTTATCTTTATTTGTGTCAATGTTTTAAAATACATTCCTAATTATGTTGGATTCTTTTGCTGCTTCCTGAATTTCTGCAGATTACAAGATGGGGGTCGGTTTATCTCCAGAAAATATTAGTCACATCATCCCTGCAGGCGCATTTCATAATGAGTCTGACGAATAAACAACAGTTGCTGTCAGTGAATGATCCTCATAAAGCTGGCTGGGATTTCTGGACTTTCTGACATGGCAAACCAGACATCACAGCCTTCTCATCTCCAAAATTATTCCAAATAAAGGTTGTGGGTGGTAACAGCACTTCTTAAACGCACTTCTGACTTGCTTGAAAAATGTTTTATTTCTATCAAAATACAGACAAAATAATGTCTAAATCATTTACATTGAGTAGACTTAAATTCAAGTTAACTTTTATTTGCTCAGATGTTCAAAAAGTGGTCAAAAAGAATTATTTTAACACACTTCCCCTCATCACACCAAACATTTGACAAACAAAAAAGTTTGTTGACACACCCACGGTGTGTTCCTGATTAAAAGTTACCAAAGTAATCATAATTCCAAGAACAAAAATGAACTACACATTTTGGTTAAAAAATAACTCAAGTATATTCTAACTGTCTAAAGATGAAAACTGAACTGGCAGAAGTTATGATTTAAAAAAATTCAACATAAATGGCCAGAACACCAGATATGTACGCATTATTCCAAGAAGCATCTATAAAACCGAAAGTTGTATTTAAAACAGACAGAAGTTTTTACAAATCTAGTTTAAAGCAGTGATCTGCATTTTATCACTTAATTCATTTTTAATACAAATCTTTATTTATGGGTCATTTCTCTTAAATAAAGCAGACTAAATTATCTGTCTGAACAAAAACAACTGATAGGTCAAACATTAAAAAATATATATATATTTTCCATATTTAGTAAATTTTTCTTTCATATATAATTACTACTAAAAAAACACATTAAATCAGCTGCCGAGACCTTAAATATAAGCAGAGATCAGCATCAGCCAATAAAAACTAAAAAATCATCACATCTTGACTCCCTCTGTCCTATGAAATGAGTGAAGCTGCAATTTTAAAACCAACAAAGCGACAAAGCCGCAGATAAAACGTCTCTTATCGACCTTCTTCCTCCTGAGAAGTAAATGTTTGTGACTGTGAGGCACTTGTACTTACACGCTAGCGTGGGGCTTCTTCTTGGAGAAGTCGCAGGCCAGGCCGAGGTCTGAGATCCGAACGTGGCCGTGTTCGTCCAAAAGGATGTTGGCCGGCTGACGGAGGACGACAACAAGCAGAGGTTACCACTTCACATTCTGAGCAGACACAGACAGCAGAAGACGGCCTCCTGTCCTGGTTTCCTTCTGTGACTCTCTCGCTCTTTTTCGCTCTGCAGCGCTCGGTGTTGACGTATCATTCGGCTTGCACTCGACTGTTTATGGAAGCTCTGAAAATGTTCCCTGAACTCCTGCAAAATTTTGGCAATTGTTATGGCAACCCGTCCAAACAGCAGAACCAGAGCTAAAACAGGGGAAAGGCTGAAAACAAGGATTTTCATGTGGACGGGTGTAGTTAAAGCTCGTTGTTCTGCTCTATGCAGTGGCACCAGGAAGGAGAGATCCCTGACAGACACTCTTTATTCATACTTCCTTTTTCTTTCTATTAATGTAATTTAGGCAAAATAAAAAGTCTTACGTTAGCTGTCATGGTTCATGTAATATGATATTACAAATGTACCAGGCAAAGTTGGAAATTAAATGAAACTCAAAGAGCAATGGCTAGATTTGAATGATTAAAATATCTGATTGGCAGTAAAGGGAAACCTGACAGCCCCATAGAGCGCCCCCTGTTGCCTGGTTGGAGGTGGTTGTTCAGTGTGGAACAACCTGTCCCCCCTCCCCTCTTCCATATGGGGGCGCTGCAACAAGAACTATTGAAAGAAATGACATGAAAACGTCTGAAGAAAATACTGAGCACAACTTCCTTCTTTATGAAATGTAAACAAAAATGGAGTGGAGTCAGAGTTAACAATTGGAGTATTTCTCTGTTGTCTTTGGTAAAAGATCACGTCCCATTTCTCTAACAAGTTTGGTTTGGTTGCATTTACCCAGAATGCTCTGCGCTGTAATGAACTTCCTGCTTTTGGAGTGATCTCCAGTTCGCTTGGTGTTCACATATGCATTTGAAGCAAGTGAGAGTTCTCTATAACCATACTGAGACATAGCAAGCTCTTTGTTATGGCGCATTACAGCCATTGTAATTTACAAAACTTTAATAAACAATAAAAACTGAACTATTACCTTGTTTGTCCACAGAACATGGAGATATTCATAATGCTTATCAAACAGAAAACCAACATTTGCTTTTAAGCATCTTGACAAAAACTGTTTTTGGATTTATATCTAGGAAGTATACATATTGTACTAAGACAATTTTCTCAGTTTTAATTTAATATCAGAAATATAAATATATAGACAGAACAGTAAACAAAAAACAGGCTTATGAACATTAATGTGACAGATTAACTCACAACCGACATTAGAAACGTCACTAACAATAGTGGCTAATCGATGGTGTCCTATCTGGTAATATATATCAATGTGCTCAATGCCACTTTGGCATTTCAGGATCAGCGGCTCACCTTGAGGTCTCTGTAGACGACGAAGCGGTTGTGCATGTGCTCCAGGCCCAGGATTATTTCAGCAGCGTAGAACCGCATCTCTTTCTCACTAAACACACCATGCTGGGAGAGGTGGTAGTGCAGGTCACCCCCTGAACACACAGGAACACACACAAAGTGTATCATAACACTGATAACAACATGCTCTACGTTTCGGGAGGGAAGGAGGCCAGTTTGCGTGTATTTTAATCACACAAACTGACTCTGGCTGGAGCCTATCAGCCAGAGTCGGATTGTGTGATCCAATCTCCAAAACGTCTGGGCATGAAGCCTCAGTTTGATCTGGGATTATGAGTCAAAGGTCAGCCTACCGTTCATGAGGTCCAAGATGAAGCAGAGCTTGTCGGGGGTGTGGAAGGCGTACGTCATACACACGATGAACGGGCAGTCCTGGAAGAAAGACAGACACATCGTCGTCATCAATAACTTTAGACTTGTTTTCATTCAGTGATGCTGTTACATCTTTGCTTCAAATTCATTTCCTGATGATCCCACCGTCACTGGTCTGAGTCACCACGTCTATCGCCATAGTGACTCAGACCAGCGGAGACCTTCCATCTATCCTGGACCTTTAAAACTCAGTGAATGCACCGCTGACATGTCTGCAGACCCCACACATCCTGGACACAAACCGCTTAGACATTAACCGTCAAGTTTCCCTCAGCCTCTCTTTCTGATGAAAACAATGAACATCTTGCAGCTACTCTCCTGTGAAACCAAAGTTACACTCACACACACACTGTACATGCACACACACTGTACATGCACACACACACACACACACTGTACATGCACACACACTGTACATGCACACACACACACACACTGTACATGCACACACTGTACATGCACACACACACACACACTGTACATGCACACACACACACACACACACACTGTACATGCACACACGCACACACACACACTGTACATGCACACACACACACACACACACTGTACATGCACACACACACACACACACACACACACACACACACACTGTACATGCACACACACACACACACTGTACATGCACACACACACACACACTGTACATGCACACACACACACACACTGTACATGCACACACACACACAACCACACACACACACACACACTCGGCCAGCAAAGCTGATTCTCATTGTAAATGCAGCAGCAGTTATGTGTAATCTTTAAACTTATAAAAAGTAAAAAGAGAAAAATAAGAGGATCTTTACTTGCTTAGTTTTTCATTTTATTTTAATCCCCTTTAGAATCAATAAAGTAGTTTTGAAGAAAATGAAGAGTTAGAGTGTGTGTAGTTAAGGTGGCCACAGTGTGTTATCAGCTCAGTGCTCTTTCTGCAAGCATTTTGATTTGTCAAAAACCTTCAGACTATTGTTCCCCAAACAGCTGCTCAGAAAAGTATTCACACCCTCTTACAGGCTGGTTCTGGTTGGCTGCTTATAGCACCTGCACAGATTTTGCGCCAACAGGCTTCCTGTCTGATTCTGCACCGCTGTTCATAGCAGGTGCTTAAAAACATAACTGTTCTCACTTATTCACTGTATTAAAATAAACACAGTAACACTTCCAAGTTGAAATTATTTTCAGATTACGATCCTAACATGCGTCAACTGACCCGCTATTTATTAGCCTTAGTCTTTAGCCTAAACGATGTCAACACAATGAAAGACCAAACGGCTACTTGGCAGGAATTTTCGTTCTTCACTGTAAATATTAGTGTTGGCAGGAGAAGGACACACAACCTGCTGCAGCAAAGCTCAGACTTCCAGGTGGACAGAGAGCATTGTACCACTAGGGATTACAACTGGTTACATTAATATTCACCGTCATAATGCATCATTATTTTTATTACGGACAAGAGAGTCTGACTGTAAAAATTGATTAGCTGTTGTTGCATTCGACAGCAGCATTAACAATCCAGCTTATAGAATCGAATGATGTCCTGGAATTAACTGCACTGCTTGCAGTTTTCTAACCGATCACTAATCTTTAAAAAGTGTGACCTGCTGATTGCGTTTGAACTTTTTTTTTTAATCTGAAAGTTGCAAAATATAGCAACAAAGTTGCAAAGTTGACAACAGTTGACAACCATTATTAACCACGCTGTGACTGTAAAACCTACCTGCTTAGAGTTCCATAATAAATGGAGCACTGACCAACATATTTGCTATGTGTTGATGAATTTGACAAAATGTAATGTTTGTTACCAGTTTGTTACCAATAGAGAACTATTGGTGACTGGAGGTTGTCAGAAGACGATGACAGAAAGTATTAGGAAGATGATGGTGCAGTATTTTTTAAACAAATGTATTTTTTAAACAAATGTATTTTGTGGGATTTTATCTTATTTAACCGAAACACTGCAATTGAAAATTGTGTCTTCTCAACATTAACGGAATCTTGACAATGTTTTCAGCTGACTGATTCACCTGTTGACTCTTAGTTTATTCTAATTTTGTTGGCGACCACAAAGGTTAACAGCTCCGAAATAAAGTGGCCACACACCACCAGGAAAAGAGATGTGAGACGGCTGTCCTTATTTTTATGTTCAAGAGAGTTCACACCTCTACTTAATGCTGTCAGTAGAACTCATCTGACCCAAAAACAGGGGTTACTACCAGGTCAGAAATGTACAACAAATCCACTATTTCCGCCTTTAAATATTTGCTTATGTTGAATAAATCTGACGCTAGCTGTGTGCTACTGGGAGATCTGAGCACCTGTCAAGACCTCTGACATTTAGATCTGAGTAAGAAAGCTCCCATCAAGCGGCTGCTGTGAAGCTATTTCGCAGGACGGACGTCTGCGAGAAAACAGAGGGTTAAATTATGACTTTGATCTTCTCCGTCACTTGTTTGCTTTTTGAACACACGTTATCTGAGATGAAATGTGGTAACACTCTGAATCAGCTTGGTTTAAAAACTTAACTAACCCATAGGAACGTGAGTTAGCGGTGCGCTAATTTGTCTGAAACGACTAAAGCTCAAAGAAAAGCCATCTGGAGTCGACACTCACCCCTGTGCTGACTAGCGACAGCATGATTCTCTCGTTGAGCGCCAGAGTCTCGCCCTGCTTCATTTTGATCCTTTTCTTGTCCAAGCACTTCATGGCGTACCTGGAATCCAGAGAACGTCACAGACATTACAATAAAGCGGGCGACGCGGGCGAGTTTCTAACAGTTTCAGCTGTTTTGCTCACATCTTCCCCGTGTCGGCCTTTCTGCAGCCGTACACCTCCCCGAAGCCGCCCCTGCCGATGATCCGATGTACGCTGAAGTCGTTCATGGTCAGCTGAGAGAGAACAGAAAGAACAGCAACCTTTTATTCTGGTTTTTTTTTATTATTATTATTCTAAGTTTCTATAAGAACATATAAAACTAAAATTGGAATTTTCTATGTTCTATGAGAACATAGAAAACAGACATAAAAAGAAATGTTTTTCATCTCGGGTTGTTTTTCTGGATCGGCATCGACCGATACTAAATCTCGAATATCAGTAGTGGAAGTGAAAAAAAGAGGATTGGCGAATCCCCAGCAGAAACAACAGGAAGAATTACCAAAGCATTCGGAGGAAGTTCATAAATTTATAACAAATGATCTGGTAATTTTCTTCTCATAGCTGAAATGAGTCAATAGTTTTTGCATTATACATTTAGTTTCTGCTTTGGCTTGAGCGTCCCACAACCACAAATGCTTTCTGGGAATTACAGAGCTTAGACCAAAGCCAACAGTTTTGATAAGTTTGGAAGTTCAGCTTAAGAGCTTTTTAACATACAATCACATATATTGGAATTCCATGTCCAATATATGTATTGCAGGTATTGAGACCTGCATTTAGTCATGCAGGTCTAAATACAACTTTTTTTTTGCTTTGCATTTGTATACTGCTTCCTTTACTTTATCCTGAATAAATTACTAAAATAATGTAAAAAGGAATAGAGTAATAACAGACATGACGGTGGCAGCACCATGCAGTGGCTGCTTTTCTAGATTTCTACTTGCAAAAATGTTGACAATTTTTCCCTCCACTTTGTAATTACGCTCGACTTCGTATTGACCCATAACCTAAAATCTGAATGAAAGGCACTTCAATCTGTGGCTGTAACATAACCATGCACTGCTTTCCTATAGCACTGTACCATGTCATAATTACTGATGTTCTACCTTCAATCAAAATCTCGTACTCACATGGATGTTGAGTTCCACGTTCTTCCACTGGCAAAACCGAGTGAACTTGTCGCTGAGGTCAGAACAAAAATAGGGTAAAAATGGCACTTTGCCAGCAGTGAGAGCCATCGCTGCGTTTCCACACGGTCACCGGCTCACCTTTCAATGAACTTCTGGAAGATGTTCCCTCTCAAGCTGTCACAGATCTCCACTATGTATGGCTGCAGCAGAGACACACAGAGGCTCAGCTCAGAAGCTTTATGAGAAACATTCACTTCTGACATGGACGCAGCTCGAGTCTTTGCTCATAAGACCAAAGAGAAAAACAGTTACATTTTTCAAGCATATGTTTTAATAAACGGTCAACAGTTCCAGCTGAACGTACGATTTAAATATTGAGTAATAGCACAGGAAATACTGGCATATGCATGGCATATTTTGGAGTTGCAATGATTCACAGGGGATAAGTGAGTAAACAGACTAATAGCCAGGCTGTGGGCTAAAAGAGGAAAAGAGTGATTTGATTTACCAAGATGCAGGCCAACTTTTGTCTGGCTTGGTCTGGACTTATTCTGCTGGGCCTTTCCTTCCAACATCTGATACTTAGGAGTAAGGCATGTTTTACAAAACTATAAAAAAATGAGACTTAACCTGGATGACTAGCATTAATTCAGTGGAGTATCAGAGGTTGGCAGATTGACAGGAAACACAATGAAATGTGTCCTGCAGCAGATTGCAGTGAAGACAGTAACGAGACGGTTTCTAAAATACAGCTATAACGGCGTTTTAGGAACCAGAGGAAATGGAAAACTCTTCCGAGTGAGAAAAGTGAAAGCAGCTGAAAGGAGTGTGCTTGTTTGTTGCTATGGTTTCTCACTATTTTGTTCTCGTTCTGCAGGTGTTGGAACAAACTTCTACAGTGTTTTTTTCTTTAGCTTTCTTTCTTTACTACTTTTTATCTTGTTTCCCACTAAACCTTTTCCCCCTCCTCTCTCCCTTTATTTTCCATCACTGCGTCCATTACAATTGAAATAAACCCAAAGCCACATTGTCAAACATTATAGAAACATTACAGAAAGTAATGATGATGTGCACACCATCAGACACTGCTATATTACTTTATTGATTCAAGGATTCCTCAAACATGCGTGAAAGAGTCAAGGCAACACTCCAGTTATGTTTTTGATGAAGAAATAACATTATGACATGATGTAAAGCTCAAAAAGTTGATTTACAACATGGAAAACTGTCCCACAGCATGACAGAACTTCCACTGTGTTTAGAGACAGTAGTCTCTCTTTCCTGATCGGATTCATACTTTGCTAACTATCTGAGCTAAAATGTGAAAGCAAGTTTCACATCTACTTTGAGAAGCTGACTTTACACTCCATGAATCATAATCTGCTTCCTGTTTGGTATAAAAATGCCCTTCCATGTGTTGGGAGTGTGTTTTACCTGGAAGAGAGTTGGGGGGACCATTTTCTTTGCCAGATGACTCTGCACATGGTCCACTGCCTTCTTGGAAAATGGCTGCAAAAAAACATGGGTTGATTAAAGATGCAACGTTAACAGTAGTTTCAGTTCTGCTTCCTCTGTGCAAGAAGGCTGTCCCCTGGGTCAACATGCTGCTGCTGCTTGCTGCTGGGAGGCTCCAGAGGTAGCTGTGTGTGTGTGTGTGTGTGTGTGTGTGTGTGTGTGTGTGTGTGTGTGTGTGTGTGTGTGTGTGTGTGTGTGTGTGTGTGTGTGTGTGTGTGTGTGTGTGTGTGTGTGCGTGTGTGCGTGTGTGCCGTTTTTAAGTTTGAAGTTATCACATCAAAAATAATTATGACTGAAAAAGGTCTTAAGATGTTTCTATTTTTGCAAAAATGTTTAGTTTACTGTCTTAAATGCTTGTATGTTTTTGTCCATACTGAATGCTTGTCTCATTTTTAATGCTGAAATCTCATGTTGAGAAAGGCATTGTGAATAAAATATATTATCATTAGTTATCCCCATTAATTATGTGCTAGGTTGTTCCACAACATTAACCGCCTGCTTAAATAGGCACTGACGTTTATGATTGTAGCATATCGAGTTCTTAGGTGTTCGGTACTTTTTGCAAGACGTTGTATATTTTCTGTCTGCAAATTTGTGTCGACTAATCTAGAAACATGAAATTAAAAAAACTCTGACCAGAGCTGCAACCTGTGAACCGAAGTGGGATCAGCAAGGCGAGAGAACGAAAGCGTCTGCGGCATCCATTTAGGTGAAGCTGCTATCTCAGACACACAGCCAGAGGAAATGAAGCAGCAGCTGGATTTGGGTTTAAGGTGTTCTTCCCAACACCGCCTACCATTTAGGATGATTCCAGATAAAATATACAGCCAATAAAAATGAGGCGAACTCGATGGATGCCGGTGCCCGGTTTAATCCAGTTTTAGTGCTTCGTGTAGCGACATCAGCGTTTTTCTTTTTATTGTTTGGCCTAGCTGACACAAGATGAGTATGGAAGTATTTACACACCTGCGTCCTGACAGGGACATTTGCAAAATCAACTGATTCCCCTTCATGCAGCTGGGCAAACAGACAAGATTTCTCTGCACAATGAAAAGTCACTATCAAACAAACAAAGGAGGTTTTAAAATGTAATGCTTTAAATACATAACTTATTTTTATTTATTTATTTATTTAACACGTAAGGTCATTTGATTAATTATGGTATTTTAACCAGCAGTGTTTTTGTTTAGCTGCCTGGAAAAGTGAAAACGCATGACTGTTAGGTCGTTCATGTTAGAAACAACTGAGCATCTGGTTGTGCAGCCAGAACAAAGAGTGGTGGAATTGGGATTTCTATGACCTCTTTCGCAATCTCATAACTCGGACCTTCAGCCTTTGTTTACGTCCAGATTTACACAGTCTGACTTCTTCTGGTGCAGATTCACGATGCATTTCTCATGTCAATGACTTAGAGGTCAGACAAAATGCAGCGTTCAGACTTTGAACACTCTAGGACACGCATCTGATTAAGTTTCATATATGGAAGTGGCACAAATCAGATTTTTTGGGGGGTGAAGAGGTTGGAACTCGGACGTTCAGAGCGCCATAAAAAAGTCAGATACAGGGCACATTTTGGGAGAAAAACAAAAAAAATCAGATTTGAGTCGCATTCGCTTGTTGTGTGAACATAGTCTTTGGCGGTATATTCTTCAAATGGGAGAATTTTAACCAGAAAGACTAAACTTGGCATGTTGCTTGCAGAAAGTCTGGTTCAGAACTTTCACAACAAGATATGCCATTTAAAACACATAGCAGCAGCAACATGGAACCTGATCTGAGTTAGTGAATCATTTCAACTGACCAAAGGAGTTGAATAAATCCCACAATAGGAATGATTCATTTTCTGCTTTCACTTGAAGTCAGTGGCATACTGGAGGCCACCTGACCATCAGCAGGTGTCCTCTGTGCATCCTCACATGTGAACAGGACAGCAGCTCCTTCATGATGTAGACGTCATAAATCTGCCGGCTGCGGCTCAGACGCTCCTCCTCAGAGTCCAGGTTCTCGTATTCCTTGATCTGAAACAGAAACAGGACTCAGACTCACACGGCTTCCTGTGGGCTACATGTGGCTGAGCTGGATTATAGGGGCCTGATGCCACCTACCCACACACACACACACACACACACACACACACACACACACACACACACACACACACACACACACACACACACACACACACACACACACACACACACACACACACACACACACACTTCCGACTTACTTCTTCGTAGAACTTGAGCTGAGGCACAGCCTCGTCGATCTCATTCATACAGAAATCTTTAAACAGCAGGAAGCCTGGGAAAAAAAAAACAAAAAGACACAATGCGGTGAGAAAAAATACCCTACATGTTCACTGATGCAACTGATAAAACTGTCCATTGTATTATAATCATGAAATAAAATGACAGCTTTCCATATGATAGTGAAGTGACTCCTGAGTGACCATATATATTACATATATATGAATAATAATAACTAATAAAATCATGATCCTTTTAATTTGGTGTTAAAACAGAGGTCCTTTTTTATCCCACAGTAACATGAAATATGCTCCATTTTAAGAAATGCGTTTAATGTGGAAAAAAAGGCAATAGAGAATCACTGCCAACTTCTATGTATGAAAGATCTAAGATAGATACGACTGAGCTGTAATGTTTAGAAGCATGTGTTTCTATGATGCATTTGAGATCAGAGTTTATCATTGGCCAAAGCCTCACTACCTCTGAACCTACTTCACAAAAAATAAAATTTAAAAAAGAAAAAAAAGACTTCTCAGATTTTTCTATTAAATAAGACATCAAGAAGCAAATTCTAACTGATTGATTATGATGACAGATGGATGGACGATGAACAGGTATGATGGGCTGATAGCTTGCTGGCTAACAGATTGTTTCATGAAAATACTTGAATCAAGTTCTCCATTTCTCCAGACTGCACAGGAAGCATGTACTGATAGAAATCCTTCTCCCAAACATATTAATATATATTAATACATACACAGGCAGGATGCATGATCCTCAGTGAGAACAAACAGCAGCTTTACAGAATCTGTGAACCAAGCTGCAGCCTAAGAAACACAAAGGAAGGAAGCAGCCTGTTTCTGCCTCTGGCCCCACTGGTATGTTTACTGTCAGTTCAAACAAATGCTGCATTCACGGTCATTATGGAACAATTAGCACTCAGTGTTCTAGAATGAATTCGGTTGTCTGTATTGTTTCTGTTTCATTTGCCCTCACCATGCCACAGTCCATGTGCAGAATGCTGAGACTCTTCTTTACAGTCATTTGTAAGTAATACATTTATACAGTTGTATTTCAGGAAATGAAAAAAAAAACTATGAAAGAGGGAAAAAAAAGTATTCTTCATGAGCAATTTTGCAGAGCTGCAACTAAAATTATTTTAGTTATTGATTATTCTAACGATCGATTGATTAAAAAAATGCACTCTGCAACCACTGCTTCTTTTTAGCAATATCAGAAATACATTAAAAGGCACCACTATACTATTCAATTCCCTTTTAAATGAAAAAATCCAACCTTTAATTGTCTACAATGCAACTACAGTTCTTTAGTGAACTCTTGATTACTCGTAGTAAAGGATGAATTTGCAGTTAAAATATGTCAACATGTGAAAAGCTCAGGACTTATCAATTCAATGTAGAAAAGAAAACACGCGTTTTTGAGAAGAAACAGATGAAAGAAAGATCATTTCTTCTGTTAGAAATCCTTCTTAAAAGCTAGATGTGTGTCTAAAACAATCGTCAACTATCAGAGCTGAAATAACTCCAGGACATTAACCATCCAGTCATTAAACATCCAGTGAAACACAGTTGGCTCTCGATATTAAAATCAAACAGATTAGTTAAAAACATGGCCGTCTCCAATGTCCTGGCGAAGGACAATATGTCGCCGCATGGCGTCCCTAAATCCTCACAGAAACGCCACGAGGAGCTGAAGAGGTGAAAGAAAAACTCTTCCATGTTGCCTACAGAGATGAAACCCACAGTTGCCATGGTAATTGCATGTGTGTGTGTGTGTGTGTGTGTGTGTGTGTGTGTGTCTATCTGTGAACAATGGTGTAAAGACACAGATTATGTCGAAACGATCACACAGCCCTCCAGGAGGCCCGCTCCGTTATTATGGCCGACCTTCGAACTGCTTTCTAAAACCTGCATGCGAGACGTTTCACAGCTCCCCCGGTGGTCGTAGTACAGACTCACATCAACGGGGGAAAGAAGAGGGATAAAAACAGAGGTTTAATGAACTGAGAGGCACACTGCAACATGTTGCAGCTTTTATGTAACACGGAGCTGAGCAAACCACCTGATTCTCACTGCATCCTGAAGCCCGAGATGCTGCTAGTTTCTAACCCAAACTTTGTGTTAACGTAGGACAAAATGTCATCTCAAGAGTACTAGCAGGCCAAAAAATAAAACACTATATAAAAACTACAATCTTCGAATGCCTTCTTGAGAATTTATTTCCTGTTCAGCACTGAATAAAGCATAAAATACTTCAATTAAACAAATAATTTTGTAGAAAAGCCATGTGTAAATCACTGTAGATCCAAAAAAAGAGACATCTCAACAGTAATTTGTTGAGATGGAACATTAAAAAAAAACACCTGGAGTACTTGGTAAACCAACACAACTTAGTGAATAAAATCAGGCCAAAGTTTATCGACCTTGTCAGAGACTAAAAAGGTCGTATAGAAACTCTTTACCAGGCATTGCTGCTGCCAGATTGCTCAACAGTCATGTGTTGGTCATATTTCCACATTTTGGCTGAGTGTTTCCTATTTATAGAAGATGGTTCAAAATACCCCAGCTGGTATAAACCCAAGTTCACATCTTCTCTCTATTCCAGAAAGCTCGGACATGAAAAAGCAGGAGATTCAAAGGTGAACCTTTAATCTTGGCTGTCACTAAAGCAGACGCACCCAGTGTTCTTGTACTCAGTCCCCCTGTGGTTTCATCCGATTAGAGCCAGGTATTAGCAAAATTAGACTGCTAATGGGATCCAATTGTTGACACCAATCCTGACCTGGATGGAGACTTAACCTTGCCCATAATTACTGGGATTCCTTTCAGGAAATATATTATTTTCTTTTTAAGAAACAACAGTTTTGACTCTTCTGGGGAGTTTTGTTTTAAATCTGGCTTATAGAAATATATTTCGATGAACCAGAAAAAAAATTATCACACAGCAAATTCTTTCATCTACTGGTATTTATGCCTTACTGGAGGCACAAAATTCAGAACATTTCAAAGTCTGAACCTCCAGCATGGAGGGGAGAACTGTGGCCTACAGTGGCCCAGCTGAAGGCGCTCCAGACTGGGATGGTGGCAAAGTATCGCTCCCATTCACCGGTGGCTCTGTGTCTTACAAAATGCTTGAAACTCAAAGAAATTTCTAAGTCCAACCCTTCAGCTTAGAGGTGAGGATGTTCTCCAATTTGTGTGAAGTGTGGTCTATGTTACTTTGGAACCTCTGCATCTCTTTAGTACAGTCATGCATAGCGTCAACATCTGATGAAATTACCCTTTGCGTAGCCTGGTTGATTCACATCAAAGCGGTAGATAAAAACAATTCCCTATTTTTTTAAAAATTTGCTTAAAATCCAAATGACAGTTAGATGGAAACAGCTTGTGAATTAAAACATAATTTAGGGCTGCTGTCCACACAAAAGCTGTGTTTTCACTGACCATGTAATTGCATAATTTGGCATTTTGAAAACAAATTTGATTAATACAAACACGCCAAAAATACTTTATCGCATCACCAGACCTATTCATCAGTGATTGTAATCACATTTCTTATTTAATAAAAAAAAAAACGCAATGGCAAAATTGCATTTTGCTTGACAATAACGGAATATATATCAAAGTTGTGCGTACATTTATAATGGAAATGAAGCTAATGACAAAATTCCAAATGAGCTAAAAAGATTAGATGACTGCAGCTTTAAGACAAAGAGCATACACATCCTCACTAACAGAACATTAAACAGGTTAATAAATGCTAATATAAAGTAATGATGTAATACGTCATATGGTGACTTCACATATTCCAGATGTTATGAACTTAATTTGTCCATGCTTAATGCAATATTTAGTCAGTTGGACAGTCTTGCAGCAGCAGATGTTCACACCGGACACTAATGACACTGGCCAAATGACTAAAGGTCACTCAGTGATGGAAGCACAGATGAGAAAGAGGAAAGAAGAAAACAGACATATTGTTACCGATATTACCATCACAATAATTAGCAGCATCATTGCGAGGTTATCTAATATTGTGCTGCAAAAGAATCTGATTATTGAGAATAAAAAAGCTCTTTTTAAATAGAAGAGCTTTACTATGCAAGCTTAGGTTTCTTCCATGTATAGAGTGGTTTACATACATGATATATATATATATATATATATATATTTAGATAAATTGCTTGTTGCCTGGAAGAATATCTTTGTCGAGCAGATTAATGTGACCAGCATGATCTGGTTTAATTTTAACTTCATTTTCTGTCATTCAATTCACATCTGATCAAAAACATTCAGTGTTGCATGGCAAACAGAATCTTTGGCAAACTCTGAAGATTACTTTTTATTTCAAATGTTGCAAATTGATTACTGTGCATTATCCCATTATGAAATCAATAACATTTAAAATTCAAATATTTAAATATCAGATTAAGGGTATGGGAAGTAGACTGTTTTCATAACCTACTTTTTAAAACTTATTCTCATGTTAATACGACTGAACATGAACTCGACAGCAAGTAGAAAGCTGCTGGTCTCTCTCTCTGATTCGGTTCCAGACATGTTGAGACCAGCCGCCATTTGTTTTGGATTTTACGCCTACTATCGCCCATTCTCACGTCTTCCCTTCTTCTTTATCTCTTTTCCAGATGCGACGCATCATTTCCCCTCTGCTCCTCCGTTGACAATTGGGCTCATCCAAACAAACGGCCTGGAGCACAGCCGCGCGTGGCTTTCTTCCGCAGCAAAGAGCACCAGGGTGTCCGAAAGCTGTGCGCCTCAGCTGGCCTCACGGTGCGCAACTTTTCGGCGGTGGGGACTGGATGTGCACAAGAGGCATTAACAGAGGGGAAAAACAGCACTTCTTACGTCACAGAGAAGGGAGGATTAACCCTAATCTGTGAACACTTCAACACTACCCGTCTAATTCAACAAATAGCCTCCTCCAGAGAAGTCCCTGGCACAGACTCGTTCACCTCTGGTTGAAGTCAGACGTGGCTTTCCTGTGAGCTTCGTTTCATTAGTGGGATCAACCTGA